CACGTGTGAACACAATGGACAGGTCATTTTTTTGTGCATTGTGTAGCCGTTATGTTTATTTTTCTCTAGGAACAAAATTTGATGGCCTTGAACAGACAGACCAGACTGACTAGATAGACACACCAGACATTCCAGACAGACCAGACATTCCAGACAGACAAAATAAGACACACCAGACAAGACATACCAGACAGACCAGACTGACTAGATGGACACACCAGACATTCCAGACAGACCAGACATTCGAGACAGACAAAATAAGACATACCAGATCAGACAAGACATACCAGAATAACTTAATAAGAACAATTATTTCTTTTTAAATTAAGACTGCGCGTTAATTATTATTTTGTTGATGATTAATGACAATATGCACATATTAAAATTACTGTTTGATAAAGATTTGTTTTCTAGATATACAAGACCGGCCCTGTACCGTCCGACGATTGCCACAAATGTTCTTGTCAGGAGGGGAAAGTAGGTTGCCTGCGTGTATCGTGCCCGCAAATACCCGACCCGGGTTGTGAGCACAATGGAGTGGTAAGGTTGTTTTTTTTTCGCGTTTTGCCTAGTCGTTATGTTTATTTTTTCCCTATAAACCAATTTGGCTATAGCTCGAAAAAAACTAGAATTAGTTTTGTCATTGTTATAATATGCGGGCACAATATGTGTGAGGCACAAAAGGTCCGAATTGTCAACATTTGTCAAAACCTCGATATCGATTTTTGCATAATACATCCTTTATATTACGTATAATGTAATGATATAACGTTGGGCGTTGTAAAAGGGTGAAAACTGTCACAATTATTAAAATTTATCTTCGCGATCGCGATACGTCTGTTATACTCTGTATTTGAATAAGTTAATATCTATATATATATATAATTCTCTTCTTGGAGACGATAGAAAGCACCAAGCTGTAAGCGCGCTCCCTACCACCCCCACCCCTACATGGTCTGGTGAACTGTGGTTCACGTTAAATGTTTACAATCGTAGAGCCGGGTTTAGTGACGGCTATTAGGGGCAGATAAGGTAGTTTGAAATTATTTTAAACTTAGGGGAGGTAACTAAGAGGAGTTAGCTTTCAAGGGGAAGGGTGGTGGTGGTGGGGGGGGGGGGGGTAGTGGGGGTGGGTGGGTGGGTGGGGTAGGGGGAAAGGAGGCAGGTATCGTCCTTAACGACCATCTGATAGTGTTTTAAAGCAAATATTTTCAGTGGCAGCATTGGTACTGTCGAATTCACAAATTATGAATTACTGAAAAGTAGAAAATAAAACAGGTACGGGTCGGCTCGTACCAATAATTTTATTTCTTGGAGTAGAGTAAATTTTGGCTTAAAGACAGTGTACGGGATAGTATCCACAGCTCAGCCATTCTCCATTCTCGATTGTAAACAAACCAAGGCTATTTTGAATTAACTCCCCTGTATATGTGTAGACCATATACCTGTCTTCTTTTGTGGCGCTAAATATGTTTAAGTGCTAGTTATTCAAAGTTATAAGATTTTAATTAAATCTTAACATTTATTAATAACTGTAATCCAGTGTGGATGTTTTATATATTTTTTATAGACGTTCGTTTTACAGATAGACCTAAATGTAAGACGCTTGAAATAGTGATTTAGTTAGGTCTGTGACGTTAGAGTCACTATAAGGAAATTTCTTTTGCATTCTCTTTTGCCTTATACAAGATTTGTATATGGATAAAATGTTTGTGATTGAAATGAAATTCACGAATGTGCTGGTTACGCTCCACAGATATATAAGGAAGGGGAGAGCTTTATGAACAAATGCAACGTATGTTGGTGTAACGGAATTTATGCTATGTGTACTCTAAAGTTTTGTTTTGAAGACACCAAAGACTCAAAGTACCAGATGTTGTTTGAAAAGTAACTAGCGAATTGAACATGCAATAAAAGTTTTAGTTTGAAACATGAAATTGTATTTTTGTTGTTTTGTTGTGTTACAAATCGCAACTTTAGCTAATGTGAAAGCCCTGGTAATAACAGCATCAGAAGAGCTTGCATTAAACTAAAAAAAAAGGTGTCATACTTAAGGAATTCAGCGCTCCATTTCCTATAGTCAATGGAGTTCGTTTGAAATGGAACTTATTTAATGTAACATTAGACTCTTCTTCTTCTTCGTTCTTAATTTTAGTGTTGAAAGGGATTCCCTCCTAAAAATTAAGTATTACATGTCAGATTGTTATGCGCCATACGGTGAAAGGAAAAAAGTCACAGAAAAAAAAACACAGAAAAAAGTCACAGTTTTTGCTAGGAAAAAAAAGTCACAGAAAAAAAGTCACAAAGGAAAAGTTTTATCGGAAAAAAAGGCACAGAAATAAAGTCAGTGAAATGTCGAGGAACAAAGCCCGGCTAAATGACGAGGAACAAAGCCCGGCTAAAAGACAAGGAACAAAGCCCGGCTAAATGACGAGGAACAAAGTCCGGCTAGTGAAATGACGAGGAACAAAGCCCGGCTAAATGACGAGGAACAAAGCCCGGCTAAATGACAAGGAACAAAGCCCGGCTAAATGACGAGGAACAAAGCCCGGCTAATGAAATGACGAGGAACAAAGCCCGGCTAGTCAAATGACGAGGAACAAAACCCGGCTAGTGAAATGACGGGGAACAAAGCCCGGCTAAATGACGAGGAACAAAGCCCGGCTAAATGACGAGGAACAAAGCCCGGCTAAATGACGAGGAACAAAGCCCGGCTAAATGATGAGGAACAAAGCCCGGCTAAATGACGAGGAACAAAGCCCGGCTAAATGACGAGGAACAAAGCCCGGCTAAATGACGAGGTACAAAGCCCGGCTAGTGAAATGACGAGGAACAAAACCCGGCTAGTGAAATGACGAGGAACAAAGCCCGGCTAAATGACGTGGAACAAAGCCCGGCTAGTGAAATAACGAGGAACAACGCCTGCTAAATGACGAGGAACAAGGCCCGGCTAAATGAAGAGGAACAAAGCCCGGCTAGTGAAATGACGAGGAACAAAGCTTGGCTAAATGACGAGGAACAAAGCCCGGCTAAATGACGAGGAACAAAGCCCAGCTAGTGAAATGACGAGGAACAAAGAGCGGCTAAATGACGAGGAACAAAGCCCGGCTAGTGAAATGACGAGGAACAAAGCCCGGCTAGTGAAATGACGAGGAACAAAGCCCGGCTAGTGAAATGACGAGGAACAAAGCCCGGCTAGTGAAATGACGAGGAACAAAGCCCGGCTAGTGAAATGACGAGGAACAAAGCCCTGATAGTGAAATGACGAGGAACAAAGCCCGGATGGTGAAATGACAAGGAACAAAGCCCGAATAAATGACTTTGTTCCTTATAAAATAATCTCCTGTGTTAGTGTGTGTTTGTTGTGTTCACCGATACACAATTAATTTCATTACATGAATTTATTTCTCATAATTACTTTAAGGATTAGAAACCCAGATTATCTTTCTACAACATAACACTTATTGCAGTTTTGTCTAAATTCCGAATTCCTCGTTAAGTCCTAACTTGACTGTGCACCGATACATCAATTTTTCAATTAAGATATTTTAATTACTGACCGGGATTATTCTAAATCCGCAACATATTTTTCATGAAAACAACATTAAACTGTATATTTTACCAAATTAGTCATATGCTGGATATTGTTTCTATTATTAAACTGATGGAATGTTTTCATATCGCAATATCATTAAAACAAACGATTTAAACAGAGGCGTAGCTGTGTTGTCCAGGTATAGCGTTATAAAATACAGTTAAGTCGGAAAGACATGTCTATTCCATTAAAACGTTAGAAATACAGTGTTTGCTCTATACAATTTGCGATTGGTGCCACTCCAACACTTCTGTTTGTGAAGGCGTGGATTAGTAAATACTTTATCCAAAAAAAGTTGAAAAGCTCACCCATTTTTAAGCCGCAGTATTAAATTATGCAAAGCTGTTAAATACTACTTTTACTGTTTTCTACTTTAATTGAGTAACCGTAAAATAAAACCCCCAGCAAAAACCGTATTCGAACTTTTTGCAAGATGGAGGGGGAGGGGGGCGCTTTATTTCTAACTGAAATCAGAATGATTTACACTCGATTTTCGAGTAGAAGATTAGATACATCTTTTAACATTTAGAAAAGAAACTAGATATATTAACGCGTAATGTACGATTATTCCAGCCAATTTTGTTAATAAGTTATGTCGTAACTAGTTCTTTGTAGTTAAAAGTTACGCTTCTCTAAGAGATCAGGGACTTTTCCGTCATTGCAAAACATCTTGCCTAGAATAATAGGATCAAAGAAAAATAATTATCGATGATTTTAAGATTTCTGTCTGATCAGTAAAATAGCATATGGTAAAAGCGAGTTTGTTTTGGGCCATTCTGTTAGGTAGGGTGGAAATTGTAGCGAAAACTGCTGCAGACTACACTTTAAAACTAGGACTTATTTCTTTGTGTGAAAATACTAATTTTTTAATTATTATTTTAAAAAGGATAATGTATCTTAAGGGCAATAAACAAGATGTATTTTCTTGTTTTCAATTCATTTAAAACATTTTTATTACAAAGGATTTTTATATCTGTTTAATAATGAAATAACAATGAAATGGAAGTATTTTTTATAAGAATTACATAATCGTATGCAGTGTGTTTTTTGTTTTGTTTTGTACTGTTTTGATTTAGGCTATATATGTTTTATGCGATGTATTATTTTCCTGTTCTCTTCTGTTCTTTCAAAAAAAGAACTCTAGATTTGGTTTACTTCGTAGCATAGCGCTTTATCTGGATTTGCCGCTCCCTCTACCCCCAAAGTAAAGTCAATTGCCCCCCCCCCCCCCCCAATAAACTGTTACGCCACTGCAGTATCATTCGTCGATTTGTGCAGTAACGACCCTAGCGTCGACACCCAGGGCGATCCCCTTTTTGTGGCTACGCCTATGGACACTGTCGGCGTCCCCCTCTTTAAAACTACGCCCATGGACACCGTCGATACTCACCAGTGTCTACACAAGAGGCAGATGTATTATATATTACTACAGTGCCTGATTGCAGTCGTTCTAAAGATCTATGTATTGAAAATTGTCTGACTGAATATCTGTGCCGACTGAGTTAGAGTCTAGACTATAAGTAAATAGAACAATGTTACTAAAAGAAAACATATATATATATATATATATATATATATATATATATATATATATATATATATATATATATATATATATATATATATAATAAAAATGTTGTTTTATTAAGTTATTGACACGTCACTATTTCTTAATTCGACAAAACAAGCAAAATGAAATACCTGTTCACGGTGGTTGTTGCTGTGTTCGTTGGATGTGCTGTTGCTGAAAATTGCATTCACGACAGTGTTGTAAGATTTTATTTTCTATTTTTAAAATTGATAAAATGTTCGCATACTGTGTATAGATAAAGCTTAACATTTTGTTTGGCCCCACATTTGCCACAATGACAAATGAAAGAAGTTTTGACCCTCTGAGAACTGTTCAAAAGCCTTAAAGACCTTCCCTCTAGTCTTTTTCTCAGACACAATCACGATGTTCTATGTACCATTTTTCATATCACTAGATTTAATTAATTAAAAATAGAATTTAAAGCGGTAGTTATATCCCCTAAACTTTCTCGTATATTCTTATGTAACTCGTTTTCATCGAGTCTTGACCTACGTAAAAAGTTTGAAACGAATCGGTCCGATAGATGTGATTTTTTTTTTAGAAATAGGTAAATAGTTCTAAGTACTACTTCTGGTGACAAGACATCAACCAAAACTTGAAAGAATTAAGAGAATAAGATCTTATACCTATATATAAACTTACGTTCACCAAACTAAAGTTGTTCTCATGTCATCAGTATTATAGACACCAGAAATAGAGTAAAGTGTTGTTTTTTTTTTTGGAAATCGGAGGTCACTCAAAATTTTAAAGTAATCCAAAGATAAAATCTGATACCTATTTAAAAAATTTCGTCAACCTAACTGAAATAGTAAAGCTCAACATTTTGTTTCACCACAAAAGTGTAATAATATTAAATGAACAATGTTTTGTCCATCTGAGAACTGTTCAAAAGCCTTTCCACCATATACATACAAACACACACGGAAATGATTGTGAAACTAAGTTTGTTTGTTTCCGTAAGGTTGTAAAACATAGGACCCTACACATTTGACTAAATCTCGACTTAGAATTTTCGCACGATACATTCGATTCACATCCTTTATATTCCGTACACGATAAAGTAGGGCGATCTAAAACTGTCAAAATATCTGTTTATTATTCATCACAGTTACAAAGTTTCATTATACTCTGTGTACGAGAAAGTAAAAAATTAACACCATGCTATTACTGTTTATGCGTACACAAGCAACAAAGACAATTTAAAAATAAAAAAGAGTAAAACTTTTGAATGAACAAGCTTTTTAATGATTTAAAATTAAAAATGAATTACAATTAATTCCTTCAATAAATCAAATGTAAAAAGCATTTTTAGCAACAAGCTTTTGAATTCACAAAAAATAAGAAAGTAAAACTAATATGCTTTCTTACATAAAAGCTTTGGTCGCTAAAATATGAGCAACAAAAGGTTTTATGAAAGAAAGCAGATTAGTTTTATTTTACTTTTTTCTGTGAATTTAAAATCTTGTTGCCAAAAAGTTTTGATTGTTTGTTTCACTACAAGCTTTTACTTAGTTCGTTTGCAGGTTTGTGTCAAATCTTGTAGTTCAATGGTTACCTAATTCTAATGCAGCAATTGCTTTCAAATTACCCAGATTGTAATATAGTGAGACTTGTGACGTCAAGGGAACTCACTCTTCTTGTATTGTTATTATATTTATACTGTTATCTTGAGTGATGTCCCTTACATGTTTATATATAGTTGTCTCTCGTCACTTCCGTTCTCTCTCTCTTCCGTTTACCAAATAAAGATGGCTTCATAATGATGGCTTCTGTCTCCGTTGTATTCCTAATCTATTACATTGGCGACGAGGATAAATGATCCACTAGAAAGAGCACCTACTTACTCAAAAAGAGGTTTGCTAGAGCATATTGGCTAAGTATTTCTAGGAAAATGGCGCTGTATGGCCAAATAAAAGAATTTGATTCGAATGATGAAACCATCCATGATTATCTAGATAGGTTAAGCTTTTACCTTGAAGCAAACGACGTGACGATAGAAGCCAAAAAGAGAGCTGTTTTGTTAACAGTCATAGGGCCTCAACAATTTAGGTTACTAAAAGACTTATGCGTACCAGCTAGTCTAACTACCAAGAGCTTTAACGAGCTGAGCAAATTGCTAACAGACCACCATGCGCCTACCCCATCAAAGTTTCTATGTAGAGCTAGATTTGACGGTAGGACTCGTCAACCAAACGAGTCAATATCAGTATATGTTGCTGCTTTACGTCATCTAAGTGAATTTTGTGAATTCGGAGACACGCTGTCTGACAGACTATGTGAAAAGTTTGTGACAGGTGTAAACAGCCCTGATGTTCAAAGAAAGTTGCTTCTCGAGTCAGATCTCACATTGGAAAAAGCAATACAACTTGCAACTTCATTCCAGCAGTCATCCGAGGCGGCGAGATCTCTAACGTCTTCAGAGATCCATGCAGTAAACAGCAGGTTAGTCAACAAACACCAACCCCATCAGAGCAGTTCAACTTATGCTAAACAGCCTGCACGTTCAAATCCTAGATCTAAATCTAGTAATAATTATCAAAAATGTCATCGATGCAAAGGTCCCCATGCATCTCATCGATGCAAGTTCAAGTTAGCAACTTGTTATAAGTGCAGAAAGCAAGGTCACATTGCCAAGGCCTGCTTTGCAAAGTCTTCGTCTGTTGCTAAATCTAGCCAGTCAAGACAGTACCGCAACCAAAGGCAGCACTATGTTAACTCTCACCAAGACTACCTAACCCAACCAATGAACCACTCTACCTGTGAAAATGCTCAAACTGATTCGCAGCCGGATTTCAACCTGTTCTCTGTGAAATCAATAAGTCATGCTCCCATCAATGTACTAGTTTATATCAACGGTAAGAGCATCAGCTTCCAACTTGACACTGGAGCATCTCTAACAGTCATCACAAAGAAGGACTTTGACGCTGTCACAGGAGGATCAGTGCCTCTACAACCATGTCACAAGTGTCTAACAACATACACTGGTGACAATGTTCCGATAATAGGAGAGTGTATGGTTCATGTAAGTTATAATGGTCAAAGTGTTAAACTTCCTCTTCTTGTGGTTGAAGGAAATGGACCACCATTACTAGGTAGGAACTGGTTAGTTGATCTTAAGTTAAATTGGGAGAGTATATTTTCATTGAACAAAACAAGAGAATCTAGTCTTACTTCAATAGATAAAGTTATATCTGAAAATAAAGGTGTTTTTGGTAATCCTGGATTACTAAATGATAGAACAGTGAAGATAAGCATTAAAGACACAAATCCAAGATACTGCAAAGCTAGAGTTCCACCTTATGCAATGAGGAATAAAATTGAAAATGAGCTAAGTAGATTGGAATCTAATGGCATCATAAAGAAGGTAGACTATTCCGACTGGGCAACGCCCATTGTGCCAGTGTTAAAGAAGGATGGTTCTGTAAGAATTTGTGGAAACTATAAAGCTACACTGAATAAGCAAATAGAGCTAAATAGGTACCCTATTCCTAACATTGAGGAAATTTCTTTGAATTTGGCAGGAGGAGACAAATTCACTGAATTAGACTTTAGTCATGCTTACACTCAACTAGAACTGCATCCAGATTCAAAAGTCTATACGACAATAAACACACATAAAGGACTCTACCAATATGAAAGACTATGTTTTGGTATATCATCTAGCCCTGGAATTTTCCAGGCTGTCATGGACAGTATTTTTAAGGATATTCCAAATGTTTGTGTTTACTTTGACAATGTGTACATAAATGGTAAGAATGACACTGAACATCTTAAAACACTTGATAAAGTCTTGAAAATAGTTGGTGAAAAAGGGTTAAAGATAAACAAAGATAAATGTCAATTCATGCTGACAGAAATTAGTTTTCTTGGTTATATATTAAGCAAGCAAGGTCTCAGACCTCAACCTGAGAAAACAAAAGCCATTAAAGAAGCACCCAAGCCTGAAAATACCCAACAACTAAGAGCTTTTTTGGGCTTGATAAATTACTATGCAAAGTTCATAGGGAATCTGTCTGGTAAACTATCACCACTGTACAAGCTGCTACAGAAAAATGCAACTTGGCACTGGGGTAAACAACAAGAAGCTGCTTTTAATACAGCAAAAGAAGTTTTGTCTTCTGACACCTTACTAACTCACTATGACCCAGGGAAAAGACTTATATTAACATGTGATGCTTCACCAGATGGTGTAGGAGCAGTCTCGTCCCACATGGAGGAAAAGGGTGACAGACCCATTGCTTTTGCCAGTAGATCTTTGAACCAGGCTGAGAAAAATTATTCTCAGTTAGATAGGGAAGGCTTAGGCATCATTTTTGGTGTTAAGAAATTTCATAAGTTTCTGTTTGGTTGGAAGTTCACCATCTTTACAGATCATAAACCATTGCTAGGTTTATTTAGAGAAAACATAACCCTACCTGAGTATGCCTCACCAAGAATTCAAAGATGGGCTATCACACTAACTGCATACAATTATGAATTGAAATACAAACCTGGATCTGAAAATAGTGCAGATAGTCTTAGTAGATTACCTTTAAAAAACCAAAGCCTTAGCTATGTACCAGAAGATGTATTTGTTCTCTTCACTATCATGGATAACTCCAATATAGATGTGAATGATATTAAAAGAGAAACACAAAAAGATAAGTGCTTAATAAAAGTATATGAGTACTGTAAGAATGGTTGGCCTGAAGAGTCTGTGAATGATGACTTAAGGCCATATTAAATAAGAAATAAAAACCTTTGTGAAGATAATATAAAAGATGGAGAAGATGCAGTCCATTATCAGTCAGAGTTGCCTAAACAAAGTATTTGTAACTTAATAAATGATTATGGTGATATGGCAATTTCAAATACATTAGTAAGAAGGAATGTGATCATCAAACAACTTTGCTAACATCATTAGCACTTCCAGAAACTAAAAGGGTAACATCAAAAGAAAAAAAAAAGATTTTTGCCATTTAATACACCCATTTCAAATACTGGATCACAGTTGCAAATTGATATGGTCCAGGATATTACTTGTAAACAGTATTTTTGGTTACCAGGAAAGCACTATCAGATTACATGAGAAAATTGATCAATCAAAGAAATCTATGTCAGTCAAGGATCTGAATAACAGCATAATACTTCCAGATGCCAATTCAAAAATAGTTCCATTAAATCATGACAAGACATGCATTGAAAGAGAATTTGGTGTTAATGAGAATGTGTATCTAAGAAATTATGGGAGAAAGGAAAAATGGATACCAGGTCAAATTGTTCAATGTACAGGACCTGTGTCTTATAAAGTAAAAACAAATGATGGACTTATTGTCCGTAGACATGCAGACCAGTTAAAAATAACTTGTGCAGATAATAAGTGTGAATCTATCAATCCCACCAAATCTGATCAGTTCACACCAACTCAGTTTGTTCCACAACCAAGTTCTGTTGATATGAGTGAACCAAGTAGTCTGGGGTCAGAAAATGTAAATTCTGGAATTAATGATTTTGATCCTAGACCTCCTGAGATAGAGAATCCATATGGTCAGAATCTTGAGTCACCAAATCAAAAGCCACTGAGAAGGTCAAGCAGGACAATCAAAGTCCCAAATAAGTTAGACCTATGATTTTAAAGATCAAAAGGACTTTGACATCATTGTTTTGTATCTTGATTATGTTGTAACATATTGTGCATTGTTTGTAAGGATGTAATCTACCATAATGTTCATGTTACAATATAATTGATGATTTTAGGATACTGTCAATTGTTCTATTGAGAGATGTGTTGTGTTTACTAAGGGTAAAGGGATGTAATATAGTGAGACTTGTGAAGTCAAGGGAACTCACTCTTCTTGTATTGTTATTATATTTATACTGTTATCTTGAGTGATGTTCCTTACATGTTTATATATAGTTGTCTCTCGTCACTTCCGTTCTCTCTCTCTCTCTTCCGTTTACCAAATAAAGATGGCTTCATAATGATGGCTTCTGTCTCCGTTGTATTCCTAATCTATTACACAGATATCTTCGTGTTCTTCAATACATGAATAATTTTTAAAAATATTAATTTGATGCTAAATTAGTCATTACGAATTAATGAAACGGTTTCGAAACTAAGGAGACTGAACACGATTAAATACTAGTAATCACTCGATATACTTTATTAAATAATAGAAGGGGAGATAACTATCTAGACGCTATCACCGTAACAGTCTGGTGGACTGGTTCACGTCGAATGTTTACAATCATAGAGCTGGGTTGAATGAGTGAAGGGTATTAATCGCTAAAATATGTAAGAGATCTCATGAAGGACAAAGTTAAAAAAAAAAGAAAACCTTTGTTTTATTTTCTTATTTTAAATGCACTTAAAAGCTTATTAGAAAGGTTTTTATATTTTTTTAAAAAGACATACAACAAAGGAGACCTTATTCCGTTCAACGATTGTAACAATTGCCTCTGTGTTGGGCCTAATATACAATGTGATTTGAAGCCGTGCAAGGAAATACCGGAAGACAAATGTGAACTCAATGGAAAGGTCAGTTCGTGTAGTCATGTTATTGGTTATTTTTTTAAAAGCGGGCATTAGTACATGGGATATCTGTTCCCCACACTTTAAATAGACCGGGTATTTGTTTGGCCAATATCCAAGGACATTTTTTTAAACTAAAATTCAATCCAGTGTAAAATCTATTGTCATCTCGATGATCGTGTATAAAGAGACCGAAAACTGACATAAACTAGACCGATGAGATTCTATGAAATGCCACATTAAGGGGTAACATAATTTACCCGTTTGACCGCTCAATGATTACACGAACGCAACAGCGTAAAGATTTTATACTTTTTATTTCCCCGGTTCTTTGACAACACGCGAAAATAAAAGAAGAAAACATCTGGATCAAAGAAAAATTCCTTTAAAACTTATGCTAAGCTGTTTCAATGACACGGGCATTTACTTTTAAATAAGGCATTGTAAAGTTATTTTTAACACTGATATTTAATAGTTATTTAGTACAACGCCTCCTAATTTATAAAAGCCCATGTGCGCGCTCTCTCTTTCTCTCTCTCTCTCTCTGTTTTTCTCTCAAAGTTTTCCCGAGGCCATGAGATCAGTATCTTCAGCAATATGTGTAGAAATTAAAGATATGTACTTCTGTTGAGAAATATATGTGAATTATACTAAATGTAAAAGTTTAATTTTATTGAAAAGCGGGAAAAAAATAAAAACAGACTGCAACTATGCTGTTGTTAATTGTGGTGTTACTAACTTTACCCTAGTTACACATTACAGCTTGAAATATGTTGTTTTTGTAACTACACTAGTTAGCCTGCATACGAATTATTTTTTTTTAATTTTGAAAATGCTTTTGATAGCCTAGACAGAAACAACCTCTTGAAAATCTTACTTTGGCATGGTTTTCAAAAAAAAAATATCACAAATGACATCAAAATTATATATGAAGGGTTTCAATGCAAAGTTATAAGTGGTAGCCATATCACTGACCAATTTATCAACTATTTGTTGATCATTTATTTTATATGCATGTATCAATATTGTGCCGTGTATAAACAAAGATTGAGATCACTGTTTCATAAAGCTGAATCTGTTTTCTAGAAATACAAGAAAGGATCCCAAGTACAGTTCAACGAGTGCAACCAGTGCCACTGTGTTGGGCCTAATCTAAAATGTGACATAAAGCCGTGCACTCCAAAACCTGAGGTCACGTGTGAACACAATGGACAGGTCATTTTTTTGTGCATTGTGTAGCCGTTATGTTTATTTTTCTCTAGGAACAAAATTTGATGGCCTTGAACAGACAGACCAGACTGACTAGATAGACACACCAGACATTCCAAACAGACCAGACATTCCAGACAGACAAAATAAGACACACCAGACAAGACATACCAGACAGACCAGACATTCCAGACAGACAAAATAAGACACACCAGACAAGACATACCAGACAGACCAGACATTCCAGATAGACAAAATAAGACATACCAGATCAGACAAGACATACCAGAATAACTTAATAAGAACCTTTAATTTTTACGTTAATGTGATAGATTGTGCGGTTTTATTATAACACAACGGACGATAACGCCATCTTGTATAGTTTCCCTTTCAAACCTGGAGGTCTATGGGGCAAGTGAAGTAGAGTTCACTTGTTTCTGTGACCTCGGCATATGAAGAGATAGTGTAAGCCACATGACATGTAAGGGACATCACTCAAAACATTATAATTATAAGACTAATACAAGAAGAGTGAGTTCCCCTGAATTCACAAGGCTCAATATATTACATCCCTTTACCCTTAGTAAACAACAACACAGCTCTCAAGAGAACAATGACAGTATCTTAAAATCACCAAATATATTGCAACATGAACATTATATGATTTGAATCATTTGGTAGATTACATCCTTACAAACGAATGCAAAATATGCCACAAACACAATTAAAATACAAAACAATGATGTCAAAGTCCTGTTAACCTTTACAATCAAAGGTCTAACTTATCTGGGACTTTGATTGTCCTGTTTGACCTTCTCAGTGGCTGTTGATTCAGTGACTCAAGATTCTGACCATCTGGACTCTCTAGCTCAGGAAGTCCAGGATCTAAATCATTAATTCCAGAATTTACATTTTCTGACTCTAGAATACTTGGTTCACTCATATCAACAGACCTTGGTTGTGGAACAAACTGAGTTGGTGTGAACTGGTCAGATCTGGTGGGATTGACAGATCCACACTTATTATCTGCACAAGTTATTTTTAACTGGTCTGCATGTCTACGGACAATAAGTCCATTATTTGTTTTTACTTTATAAGACACAGGTCCTGTACATTGAACAATTTGACCTGGCATCCATTTTTCCCCTCTCCCATAATTTCTCAGATACACATTATCATTAACTCCAAATTCTCTCTCAATGGATGTTTTGTCATGATTTAATTTTTGTGTATGTTGATGTTGGGAAACAGACCTTTGAACAGTTGGATGTAGTAGGTCAAGGTGAGTTTTAATTTTCCTACCACACAGCAATTCACATGGTGCAACACCTGTTGTTATATGTGGAGTTGTGCGGTATTTGGCTAAGAACCTGTTTACTCTTTCCCTGAGAGAAAATTTGTTACCGGTACTAATTTTTACCATAGCGGTTTTGAATATGCCTACCGCTCTTTCAGCCAAACCATTCCCAGCAGGATGATAGGGTGATGTGGTTATATGCTCAATACCATTTGCTATACAAAACAGTTTAAACTCATGAGCAGTGAAACTAGGCCCATTATCTGAAACAATTTGATCAGGTAACCCATGAGTTGAAAATATTTCCTTTAGTTCTATAATGGTATCACTTGCAGTGATTGTGTTCATGATTTTAACTTCTAACCACTTAGAATGTGAATCAATAACAATTCAGAACATTTTGTTCATGAAGGGTCCTGCAAAATCTATATGTATAAGTTTCCATGGTTCGATTGGCCAATCCCAGTTTTGCAAAGGTGCTGTAGCTGGTTGATTTGAATGGTGTGCACAGCTTGAACAACTATTCTCAGATCCAGGTTTGTATTTCAATTCATAATTGTATGCGGCTAGTGTGATAGCCCACCTTTGAACCCTTGGTGAGGCATGCTCAGGTAGGGGTTTGTTTTCCCCAAATAAACCCAGCAATGGCTTATGATCTGTAAAGATGGTGAACTCCCTACCAAACAGAAACTTGTGAAATTTCTTAACACCAAAAATGATGCCTAAGCCTTCCCTATCTAACTGAGAATAATTTTTCTCAGCCTGGTTCAAAGATCTACTGGCAAAAGCAATGGGTCTGTCACCCTTTTCATCTATGTGGGATAAAACTGCTCCTACACCGTCTGGTGAAGCATCACATGTTAAGATAAGTCTTTTCCCTGGGTCATAGTGAGTTAGCAAGGTGTCAGAAGACAAAGCTTCTTTTGCTGCATTAAAAGCAGCATCTTGTTGTTTACCCCAGTGCCAAGTTGCATTTTTCTGCAGCAGCTTGTACAGTGGTGATAGTTTATCGCATAGAAATTTATCAAGCCCAAAAAAGCTCTTAGCTGTTGGGTATTTTCAGGTTTGGGTGCTTCTTTAATGGCTTTTGTTTTCTCAGGTTGAGGTCTGAGACCTTGTTTGCTCAAAATATAACCAAGAAAACTAATATATGTCAGCATGAATTGACATTTAGCTTTGTTTATCTTTAAACCATTTTCACCAACTATTTTCAAGACTTTATCAAGTGTTTCTTACCAGTTATGTATACGTTGTCAAAGTAAACACAAACATTTGGAATATCCTTAAAAATACTGTCCATGACAGCCTGGAAAATTCCAGGGCTAGATGATATACCAAAAAAATAGTCTTTCATATTGGTAGAGTCCCTTATGTGTGTTTGTTGTCGTATAGACTTTTGAATCTGGATGAAGTTCTAGTTGAGTGTAAGCATGACTAAAGTCTAATTCTGTGAATTTGTCTCCTCCTGCTAAATTCAAAGAAGTTCCCTCAATGTTAGGAATAGGGTACCTATTTAGCTCTATTTGCTTATTCAGTGTAGCTTTATAGTCTCCACAAATGCTTACAGGACCATCCTTCTTTAACACTGGCACAATGGGCATTGCCCAATCGGAATAGTCTACCTTCTTTATGATGCCATTAGATTCTAATCTACTTAGCTCATTTTCAATTTTATCCCTCATTGCATAAGGTGGAACTCTAGCTTTGCAGTATCTTGGATTTGTGTCTTTAATGCTTATCTTCACTGTCCTATCATTTAGTAACCCTGAACTACCAAAGACACCTTCATTTTCAGATACAACTTTATCTATTGAAGTAAAACTAGATTCTCTTGCTTTGTTCACTGAAAATATACTCCCCCAGTCTAACTTAAGATCAACCAACCAGTTCCTACCTAGTAATGGTGGTCCGTTTCCTTCAACCACAAGAAGAGGAAGTTTAACACTTTGACCATTATAGCTTACATGAACCATACACTCTCCTATTACCGGAATATTGTCACCTGTGTATGTTGTTAGGCACTTGTGACATGGTTGTAGAGGCACTGATCCTCCTGTGACAGCGTCAAAGTCCTTCTTTGTGATGACGGTTAGAGATGCTCCCGTGTCAAGTTGGAAGATAATGCTCTTACCGTTGATACAAGCTAGTACATTGATGGGAGAATGACTTGTTGATTTCACAGAGAACAGGTTGAAATCCGGCTGCGGATCAGTTTGAGCATTTTCACTGGTAGAGTGGTTCATTGGTTGGGTTAGGCTGTCTTGGTGACAGTTAACATAGTGCTGCCTTTGGTTGCGGTACTGTCCTGACTGGCTAGATCAAGCAACAGACGAAGACTTTGCAAAGCAGGCCTTGCCAATGTGACCTTGCTTACTGCACTTATAACAAGTTGCTGACTTGAACTTGCATCGATGAGATGCATGGGGACCGTTGCATCGATGACATTTTTGATAATTATTACTAGATTTAGATCTAGGATTTGAACGTGCAGGCTGTTTAGCATAAGTTGAACTGCTCTGATGGGGTTGGTGTTTGTTGACTAACCTGCTGTCTACTGCATGGATCCCTGAGGGTGCTAGAGATCTGGTTGCATAGGATGACTGCTGGAATGAAGTTGCACGTTGTATTGCTTTTTCCAATGTTAGATCTGACTCGAGAAGCAACTTTCTTTGAACATCAGGGCTGTTTACACCTGTCACAAACTTTTCACATAGTCTGTCAGACAGCGTGTCCTCGAATTCACAAAATTCACTTACATGACGTAAAGCAGCAACATATTCTGATATTGATTCGTTTGTTTGACGAGTCCTACCGTCAAATCTGGCTCTACATAGAAACTTTGATGGTACAGGCGCATGGTGGTCTGTTAGCAGTTTGCTCAGCTCGTTAAAGCTCTTGGTAGCTGGACTAGCTGGTGCGCATAAGTCCTTTAATAGCCTAAATTGTTAAGGCCCTATGACTGTTAATAAAACAGCTCTCTTTTTGGCTTCTATCGTCACGTCGTTAGCTTCAAGGTAAAAGCTCAATCTATAGATAATCATGAATGGTTTCGTCATTAGAATTAAATTCTTTTATCTGGCCATACAGCGCCATTATCCTAAAAAATACTTAGCAAATATGCTCTAGCAAGCTTCTTCTTAAGTAAGCATGTGCTCTTTTTAGTGGATTGATTTATCCTTGTCGCCAATGTGATAGATTGTGCGGTTTTATTATAACACAACGAACGATAACGCCATCTTGTATGCACCTGGTTTATTATTGAACAGCTACCGGAAGCCACATGACATGTAAGGGACATCACTCAAAACATTATAATTATAAGACTAATACAAGAAGAGTGAGTTCCCCTGAATTCACAAGGCTCAATATATTACAGTTAATTTATTAATAAGACTGCACGTTAGTAACGATTCCGTTGTTGATTTAATTTGCTATAGGAATACATAAGCACATATTTAAATTACTGTTTCATAAACAGTGTTTCTTCCAGACTCTTTTCTCCGGGGGGGGGGGGGGGCACTTTAAATTTTCGGGGGGGGGGGGGCGGTAGAGTTTCTTGGGGGGGGGGGGGGGCTGGAAGAAACTCTGTTCATAAAGATTTGTGTTCTAGATATACAAGGTAGGCGACATACCGTCCGACGATTGCAACACATGTGAATGTTACGAAGCTGATGGTGTGGGACAAGTATATTGCCGTCGTATATCGTGCCTTCGATTACCCGACCCGGTATGCGAGGTCAATGGAGTCGTAAGTTTTTTTTCACGTTTTGCCTAGTCTTTATGTTTTTTTTTGTTCCCCATATACCAACTTGGTATGACGTTGAGTAATACTTATATACTCTGTATATGAGAAATTAAAAATAAAAATAGTTTGGAATAGAGTAAATTTTGGCTGAAAGACAGCGTATGTGATATTAACCACAGCTCAGCATTCTCCATTCTCGGTTGTAAACAAACAAAGAATATTTTGAATTATCTTCCCTGTATATGTGAAGACCATATTCATATCTTCTTTTGTGTCGGTAAATATGTTTAAGTGGTAGTTATTAAAAGTTGTAAGATTTTAATTAAATCGTTATATTTATTAATAGCTGTTATCGAGTGTGGATGTTTTATATTTGTATAAAAGTTCGGTTTACAGGTTGACCTAATTGTAAGACGCTTGAAATAGTGATTTAGTTAGGTCTGTGACGTTACAGTCACTATAAGGAAATTTATGTTGTATTGACCTTTGCCCCAAACAACATTTATTTATATTTAATGTATAAAATGTTTGTGTTTGAAATTATTGAAATTCACGGTTACGCTCCACAGATATATAAAGATGGGGACTACTTTATGTCCGATTGCAACAAATGTTCGTGTGACATGGGTGAAATTTTGTGCACGTTAATGGGTTGCGGTGACTAACCATTATATTAAACATCCAATTCCAGAAGTTGTTTGAAAAGCAACTAGACAATTTAATATTAAGTAATAAAAGTTTTAGTTTAAAACAGGAAACTGTATTTTTGTTGTGTCTTTTAAAGTGTTACAACTCGCATTTTTTACTTTTTCGTATATACGAAGTTTTAGAGAAAGTCTTGTAATCGTGCAAAAAAAATTAATAAAAAATAAATAAAAATAAATTCGAGATTTTTACAAATCTCGACGTTTTACAGCTCAATGTGTCGGAAAAACAGTTTTGCCATCTTGTCCGTATGTCTGTGTGTGTGTGGATGTGTGTTTGTGTGTGTGTGAGTGTGTCTGTAAACACGATAACTTGAGTACCGTTACAGCTAGGTTGATGAAATTTCATACATAAGTATTATGAATCATGGAAACTTGATATGTGTAATGGTTTCCCGCGTTCTTTTTACTTTCTCGTATATACGAAGTATAGAGAAAGTATTGTAATCGTGCAAAAAAATCTCTTGAAATTTTAACAATTTTCACCGTATTACACCTCAGTCCTTCATCACATCCGAAGTATAGAGGACTTATTTTAATCGGGCAAAAACTATCAATCCAGATTTATCAAAATTGAGAGGTTTTATGCGTAATCCATTCTGAAAAACTGGGCTTTGCAATCCTGTCCGTATGTCTGTGTGTCTGTCTGTGTGTGTGTGTGTGTGTAAACACGATTACTTGAGTACCGTTACAGCTAGGTTGATGAAATTTCATATATAAGTATTTTATCAAAATCGTAGATCCGTATCAACTTTTGAGCGATTTCCGATAACCGGAAGTGGTACTTTTTCTACTTTGAATTTTTCAAAAGCCTATAACTTGAGTACTATTTCAGATAGATAAATGAAATTTCACACGTAAGTAAAAGATCTAATTCTCTACCTTCTCTCAAATTTGTGAGTAATTTCCGTTGAACGGATGTAGTAATTTACGCTACTTCCGATTTCTCAAAAAAACTAATGTAAATTTTTAAAGTACTAATAATATTGCGCACTATTATGCACTTTTTTATTTGACGTTCACTTGGTGTGCAATTCTTTTGTGTACGAGATTTTATTCTATTTTAAAACTTTAAGCATTTAAAATGGATTAAAAATCATGTCTATAGCTCGAGTTCCCATCCCCTGTTGTTTTATATAAGAATATTCGAGAAAGTTTAGGGGAGATCACTCCCGGTTTATTTTATTTTATTTATTCTATTAATTTGGAATTAATTTCTACTTATAGCTTAGTCGTTTTTAGTTTTAATTCGATTAGAAAAAAAACTATTTTAATTAGTTTTATCGGCACCCCGATTATACTATTTAAAGAAGAGAATACTGAATAAGTCATGGAAGTGGTTTAAAGATTTGCCTAGTTTTCATACTACAACTTATGTTGTTTTTTTCTCTCTAAGCAACAGTGTGTTTTAGTTACTGCAGAACAATCACTGCTACAATCGATTAGTTTTTTTTTGTTTTTACATAGCCACTAGTCTATCAAGGTGCAAAAAAAAAATATTTTTTGTCAGATTTTGTCCCCCCCCCCCCTCTCCCTCTCTAAACGGCCTGCGTTATGCGCCGACCCAAAAAGTGCGCAAACGTGATAGTTAATAATATAAAGAGCTGAAGTATATACAGTCGAAATAAAGAATGTTACGGCATTACGGACTAATTTGTTTTCATCAATTGTGTAACCAAAAAAATAAAGCGGGAGTGATCTCCCCTAAACTTTCTCGAATCTATAATATAATGACGCTGCCAGTCATTCCGTCCTCGCTATAGATTTTGGAACCATAAAAGTATACATATCACATAATCGTGCTTTTCACTTGCATCACAGTGTCTTATTATTAATCATAGAGAAGGTTTTTTTTATATAACGACTTAAATGTATTTTATAGTTGCCACTGTTTTTACTCTTTTGCATAACGTAAAGAAAATATTAAATACACGCGAATTGCTAAAACATATTAAATGGATCAATGTAAAATAGCATTTTCGTTTTGATTACTAGAAAAAATGGGTACATTTTAATAATAGTAGGGTCGATCTAATTAATTAATTAATTAAACTGTTTTGGTTTTTTTTCCAAGGGAGGTAATTTAAAAATAAACTTAACTCACGCTAATACAAAAATGTGAATGCAAAATCCCCAATAAGGAATTATTGTTGGAATAATATAATTAGCTAAATGTGAATACAAATCTGCAGAGGACATTATTGTAAGAGGACATTATTGTTGGAATATTATAATTTGCATGGATTGATAAAAGGCTATATTTTATTTATTTTATTCACTAAACATCATGTTTGCTAATTATAATTTTTAATCAACTATTCCGCACTGTTATAGACGTGTCATCACGTTCATTAGGTGCGCAATGGTTTTAGTCATGAAACTCTATTGTAAATTTTTAAAATTTAAAGTACTGAAAAAAAAAGCATGAATTGATAAAGTGCAATATGGTAGGTAAAACACGGATATTTTAAATACTGCCTTTTATTTATCTTATACACTGAACGTACTATTTACTAATTATTAATCTAAGTTTCCGTTTGCGGACAAGCTGGGGGTTTTATAGTCATTCACTGAATCAGGCGCGTCCACCGGCGCTTGGATAGGGTGCGATTTGGCACCATGGGCTAAACTGTGAGCACTATGCGTTTATGTTTGCATTTAAGTTGTGTGTATGTTATGAGTGTTGTGTTTGTTTTTCGTTTGTGTTTTTCAGCACGATTACAATATTTGCTACATAGTAAGTAAAAACAATTATTTTAATTTTAAAATAGCATTTTAATTATATACAGCATGACTTTTTTAATAACAAGGATTTTAGCAATAGCCACATAACAGTTTTTGTTTTCAACTTATATTTTTAAATCTGAATTAAAAAAAAAACTGCTCATAAAAATTAATTGTCAAAAAGTAAAATAATAAAAATTGTGATTTTGTAATGTTAATCAATAGAAATTTTTTAAAAATTATGGAATATTCAATTTCTTTTCGGGTGGTTTCATGTTTCTTTACAAAAGAATATACAGATATTAACTATTATTAACATCTTAATAATTAACAAAAAGTTAATTTTTTTACTAATTCATGTACATCTGTTATTATTAACATCTTAATAAATAACAAAAAGTAAATTTTTTTACTAATTCATGTACATCTGTATAGCTCAATGTAATCCATACCAGAATAAAATAAAGAGGTAGGTCAGGAGTGACACATTATTTCCATACATTATTTTAACTCTTTGTTGGACTGTGTAGCAGGTTCGGCAGGATCTGACTAAAATTCTAACACAAATGTGTTACCTTTGACACAAACAAATCACATTTTTATAGTCATTCACCTTCATTTAAAATTACAGTAACATTCCTTTACATGATAAAACAACATTCAGGCACTGGATATATAAAAAGTGTAAACATGTATCACAAGAATCAAACAATAGGATAGTGTTTTGTTGAAAATAATTCTGCAAAGATCAGCAACCCCAGTTCTGTATTTAGCCGAAGGACAGCACTTTCATCTGATTGATCAACAGTATTAAACATTAAATTTCAAAATTCTTAACTCTTATCAGATTATTCTGAAATAAAATGTGATTTCACATTAATATATATATATATATATAATATATATATATATATACATTATATATATATATATATATACATTATATATATATATATATATACATTATATATATATATATATATATATATATATATATATATATATATATATATATATATATATATATATATATATATATATATATATATATATATAAATAAAAGTAAATGTATTGCCCAGCATTATTTGTATAGGTTTAAGTTCTGGATAAATAAAATCTTAACATAACACTGGCACAAGAAACATTAAGTCTATCATAACATTTCGTCAACATTTCTGCCATTCCTCAGTTATAAATGAAATTATAATTAGTTTAGGTAAATTGATTAATTATACTGTCTCACAACCATATTAATTAGTGCCACATTATTTATTTGTAGTAAACGAGTATAAAGAAATTTTGATTAATAGTCCAATACTTTCTTAGTCAAAGTAGGTAAATTTAGACCTTTGCACTAGCAGTTAAGGGAATTGATGCAATAGAACACATTTTTGGCAGGTTCTATATTAATTTTGATATTTTACCTTTTTAATGCTTTGTCCAAAAACATAATAAAAATCACAAAAATATTAAGTCGATTACTGATAAATAAATATTTCCAAAAAACATAAACTTATTTTTAAAAAATTGAAAGATTTTAAAAACAGAATACAAAAAAGTAAATTCAGAATTTTTTTTTTTAAATATGTAAATTGTTGCATAGTTTTACCACAAAGAAAAAAAAGTTGCAATCTGATTTACAGTAGCAAAATGTGAGCTAGGTGTTTGAGTGACCTGGGCGTTTGGGTGTTGTGACCTGGGTGTTTGGGTGATGTGACCTGGATGTTTGGGTGACCTGGGTGTTTGGGTGATGTGGGTGTTTGGGTGATGTGACCTGGGTGTTTGGGTGACCTGGGTGTTTGGGTGATGTGACCTTGGTGTTTGGGTGACCTGGGTGTTTGGGTGACCTGGGTGTTTGGGTGTTGTGACCTGGGTGTTTGGGTGATGTGACCTGGGTGTTTGGGTGACCTGGGTGTTTGGGTGATGTGACCTTGGTGTTTGGGTGACCTGGGTGTTTGGGTGATGTGACCTGGGTGTTTGGGTGACCTGGGTGTTTGGGTGACCTGGGTGTTTGGGTGACCTTGGTGCTTGGGTGATGTGACCTGGGTGTTTGGGTGACCTGGGTGTTTGGGTGACCTGGATGTTTGGGTGACCTGGGTGTTTGGGTGACCTGGGTGTTTGGGTGACCTGGATGTTTGGGTGACCTGGATGTTTGGGTGACTGGGGTGTTTGGGTGACCTGGGTGTTTGGGTGATGTGACCTGGATGTTTGGGTGACCTGGGTGTTTGGGTGCCCTGGGTGTTTGGGTGATGTGACCTGGGTGTTTGGGTGACCTGGGTGTTTGGGTGACCTGGGTGTTTGGGTGACCTGGGTGTTTGGGTGATGTGACCTGGGTGTTTGGGTGACCTGGGTGTTTGGGTGACCTGGGTGTTTGGGTGACTGGGGTGTTTGGGTGACCTGGGTGTTTGGGTGCCTTGGTGTTTGGGTGACCTGGGTGTTTGGGTGATGTGACCTGGGTGTTTGGGTGACCTGGCTGTTTGGGTGATGTGACCTGGGTGTTTGGGGACAAGGGTGTTTGATTTATGTGACCTGAGTGTTAACATATCCAATGCAATATTTAAATCTTGTTATAAATAACTACGATGAAACAAAAACAAGTAAAATAACATTGATCAAAGGTTTATTGGTATCTTGATAACAGATACTAGCTTTATAAAAATAAGGTATATTCTTTTTGAGAATACATCTCTCTCTCTCTACAGTGATATAATTTACAACATATTTCAGTATAAACAGAGTACTGCCCTGTGTACACAATGCTTAAGATATGTGTTAGTAACACAGTGTTGTTGGGGATTAAACAACAGAACTTGTGTTCTTCTACACAGAAGAGTTCCTTTAGCTTTCAACATGGCTGTGAGCCTCATCACTCTGACTTGTATCTGGGTCAGAATCATCAAAAAATGATTCCGGGTCACAAATGATTTTAGCTACATCATCGTTGGCCTTTTGTGTAGTGGCCACATCATTGTTGGCCTTCTGTATAGTGACCACATCATTGTTGGCCTTTTGTGTAGTGACCACATCATTGTTGGCCTTTTGTGTAGTGGCCACATCATTGTTGGCCTGTGTAGTGGCCACATCATTGTTGGCCTGTGTAGTGGCCACATCATTGTTGGCCTTCTGTGTAGTGGCCACATCATTCATGGCCTGTGTAGTGGCCACATCATTGATGGCCTGTGTAGTGGCCACATCATTGTTGGCCTTCTGTGTAGTGGCCACATCATTGATGGCCTGTGTAGTGGCCACATCATTGTGGAGCTGTTGCTCGCTAACCTCAACACCATTGGCCAATACTTCAGATTCCAATGATGCTTGTTTTTGCAGGTGGGATGGACAGGTGTGACAAGTTTCCATGAAAGTCTGTGGTTTCACCTGCCCATCTGGCACTGAACTCGGCACGGCACCTGGTGTGGGGTCAGCCTCCACAGTGCAAGAATGCTGGAGGAAAAACTTGGTACAATTGTTATTTGAATTCAAATCAACTGCCGCGTCTGGTGTTAACCCAGAAACCTCTGCAATGCTGGCTTTCAATATTGACTCCACAATGCCATTAGCTAATGCTCTAATACGAATTAAACTTTTTTGATCACTTTCTAAAATAAACTCCCCTTTTATCCTGCCTTTGTCTAATTCTTCATCACAATGAACTGCATTAGTTTTGATATTCAATGAAGCCTGAAAATCAGAGACTTCCACATTGTATTTGCTTAGTTCATTAGAAATATCCCTGCTGCCTCCAACACCAATATTTTCACACAAGAGATCTCCATCCGAGCAGTGGTCAGCAGCGGCTGATGGCCCAGCTGGTACCTCCTCATGTTCTCTAACTTGCCTAGGACTTCTCTCATGACTGGCAACTCCAGTAGAAAAGTTATTTGCACTGCCAGAATTGTCCCCATTAGCCTCAGGTTCAGCTACTGTGTTGGAATTATAGTTGTTGGATGAATTACCTCCCTTGCAAACAAAATCCCTACAATTTGCAGTGGGTTTATGTTGGTCAGGTTCAGTAGCTGATTCAGCAACTGCTTTATTTTGAGAGTTATCTCCCATTAACGAAGGCATTTGGTTATTGGAAAGTGAATTTTCACAGGACAACTTAGTACAAGTTTGTAAAAAATTCTCCTTTTCATTCATTTCCATCTGATGAGAAAACAGGTCTGGTAACTCACTTGAAAAAGTTTGAAACTTTGAATTATCTCCCATTGGAGTAAGATTGCCATCACTAGCAGAACCTGAGTTGGAGATCTGGTCCAAACTTTGAGACTGAAACAGTGAGTAGATATACAAGGGGTCAGCCTTGTCCACTGACTTAGTTTTCCTAAGTGACCCATGGTTGAAAGACAGAATGGAATGGCTGCGCCGTATGACGTCCAGCTTGGGGTAGCTCTTGTCCCGCGTGACAGTCCTGCGTAGGCTGGCCTTAGGGTCAAACGAGCGGATGGAAGCGGTCAGTCGCTGCAGGGTGTGGAGGTCAGTTTCTTCAAATGCTGCAAACAACTCTTTAATGCTGATCTGGTGTTTATTTTCTGGAACATCAAAACATTTTGTTGGTGGGTTACAAATTTAAATACACTAATTAAAGTTTAAATATTGAACAATTATGAACTTAGACATAATTAGTTATTAACCATTTAACTTGATTTTTGAGACTAACAAACACATATTATTTATTTATGTTGCTATATCTTTACAGCTGTTAAGTGAAAATTATAATAAAATATTTTTTGATTGAAAGGGGTCGGCGTGGTCGAGTCGGTAAAGCTCATGGTTGCTAAACCGAAAAGTCTCGAGTTCGAACCCTCGGGCAGATGAGGCTCGTTAGCTGGGGACAGCCACTCTTCTAGGAGAGACAACTCCAAAATTAAACAACTGCTGCCTTGTAGTTTGTTCTTGGTTGGACAAAGGCTATGGAAACAAATCCAAAAAGAAAAGCAGGCTGAAATCGGAGTCAATGGCCTTAATGGCGCATAACCAGTTGACACGTAACGCTTAATTGTGTTGAAAGCGTGTTCGAGTCGGCAAAAAAGCTCATGGTTGATAAATTCAAACAAAGTCTCGAGTTCAAACCCACTGGCAGATAAATCTCGATCCCCTTCAACACTAATAATTAAGAACGAAGAAGAAGAAGAAGAAGATTGAAAGTAGTAAGATCTCATAAGAAATATTCACTATCTCTGATAATGTCCATACAATAGAAGAAAAAACTACACAGTTCACATAATTGTAGGGACCCCTTGAATGCTGTATTACCTAAGGCGTTGTTCTGCTGGTTGTTGATGTTGCTGTTCTGTGATTTTGTCTCATTGAGCTTGAACGTGGCTGTCTCAATCAAGGCATGCAGGGCTGGGTCCTAATGAGTCAAGTCATTAACTCTCTCATAATCAACATTGATATTTTAAAAATAATTTTTTTGTGTAGCACCTTAGCAAAATATTAACTCTCTCATAATCAACATTGATATTTTAAAATATTTTTTTTGTGTAGCACCTTAGCAAAATATCCTACAATAAAAATATTTTAAAAATAAAAAAAAACAATAGTTTGAAATGTGAACATACATCAGTCAAATCTATGGGTAGTTTCCCTTGCTTGTTGACAATTCTGGTGTCAGCTCCAGCATGTAGCAGAATGGTCACAGTGTCACCCTGGTCACGCTTGACTGCCTCGTGTAAGGCTGTGTTCCCTTTATGGTTTGTTACATTCAAACTGGCACCAGACTGGAAGGAATTATTTCTATATCAACTTTATGAATTGTTACATTCAAACTAGCGCCAGACTGGAAAGAATTGTTTCTGTATCAACTTTATGATTTGTTACATTCAAACTAGCATTGGACTCGAAAGAATTGTTTCTATAACAGAAAACTCTGTACAAAAATAAGTCTATTAATTGTTACCATGAAATATTGAATGTAAAAGATCAACAATGGACATGTTCCCACCAAAGTGTATTTTTAACAAGTGTTGTTTCTGTGAGTTGTTTGCACCCTAGTAGCGATGGAGAGCTGACTAGAAAAAGGGAGATAACAATGATGAGATGATATTGACAAGAGTTAAGCAGTAGGAAGAACCCACCTTGACAAGAATCTGTACCCCATTGAGAAAACCATTACTGGCAGCAATCAACAGGGGTGTGTCCCCATTCATCTCCTGGACATCAACTTTAGCTCCGGCCTTCACCAGCATGTCTGTAATCTACAACACAAAATTACTTTTGACAAAACACCAACAAAATGTTATTGAGATATCTAAGTCTAGCAAAGAAAATTTATTTGGGTGGCAAAATGAAACAGAAAAACAATTCAAATGTAAAAAAAAAAAGATTTTTAGGTGTTACTAAAAATATTTACATTCCAACAAGTTAGAGTTAGGGTGTGTATTTGTGGTAGACGAGTTAGAATAGACTTCGATTCTTAGATTTTTATATGGTGTAGAAAGCAGATTAAAGTTTTGTTATTAATGTTTTAACAAGCCTTGGTTTTATTTGGTCTCTAAGGTTTTTTTTTAAAAGGGCTAATAGTACTTTAAGGAAAATTAACAATTTTATCAAATTTTTTTCCTTAACCTAGATAACGCCCTAAGCTTAAAAAAAAACTATGAAAAAAGTTGCGCTGCAAATACTGTATAAAGTTTTATTTCCTTACCAAGCTGTTCCTGGTACAACAGGCCAGGTGTAGAGGTGAGAGCCCCTTGTGGTTCTGTACACAGATGTCAGCGTTGAGTGATATCAGCAGGGCTACGATGTCTGAGTGCCCATGTAGCACTGACATGTGGATGGGGCAGTAGCCCGTGGACGTCTTCAGGTTGACACTCAGCTGCTCCCTCGACTTGCGAGACACCTGTTGGGGGGGGGGGGGGATGCTCTTTTTAGCTACTGATATGTAACTGTTCTTTTTAGTTACTGCTTTTTTCATTTAATGCTCTTTTGAGTTAATCAATAAAGACAAAGCACAGAAAGCTACAATAAAAATTTGCAACAGGCTTGGTGACTAAGATAATCAAATGTGTCTATAATTGAAACAAACATAGAAACTGAAGCTGACCTTCTGAATACCTGTACATTTGTCACACTGACAGAGGGGGTGACACATGTCTGCCAAGGTGGAGGAGGAGGGAGGAGGGAGAGATTCATCATCCTCTTCCTCATTGTTGGGGTTGTAAGCCACATCCTCCAAACCAAAATAAAATTTCACCTGTAAAACAATTGACATAATACACTTTAAGGAAGCGATATATATCCTGAACCCCATTATCAAAGTAGATTTATCGTTTAAAACATTTCCATCTGATTTAGGTTTGCTGGGGAAGTATCTGGTGCCAGGAGTTAATGCAGTCTCATTATAAATTCTTGGAAAATACTGAGTAAGAATGTAAAGCAACACTTGATTACAGCTAGACTTACAGCGGGATATTCAACTTTCCCACTGTAATCTCTATAACCAGCTAAACTTACTAGCTGAATATCTCCCTATATTACAGCTATAACCAGCTAGACTTACTAGCTGAATATCTCCCTGTATTACAGCTATAACTAGCTAGACTTACTAGCTGAATATCTCCCTACATTACAGCTATAACCAGCTAGACTTACTAGCTGAATATCTCCCTATATTACAGCTATAACCAGCTAGACTTACTAGCTGCATATCTCCCTGTATTACAGCTATAACCAGCTAGACTTACTAGCTGAATATCTCCCTGTATTACAGCTATAACCAACTAGACTTACTAGCTGAATATCTCCATTTTTTACAGCTATAACCAGCTAGACTTACTAGCTGAATATCTCCCTATATTACAGCTATAACCAGCTAGACTTACTAGCTGAATATCTCCCTATATTACATCTATAACCAGCTAGACTTACTAGCTGAATAGCTCCCTATATTACAGCTATAACCAGCTAGACTTACTAGCTGAATATCTCCTTATATTACAGCTATAACCAGCTAGACTTACTAGCTGAATATCTCCCTATATTACAGCTATAACCAGCTGGACTTACTAGCTGAATATCTCCTTATATTACAGCTATAACCAGCTAGACTTACTAGCTGAATATCTCCCTCTATGATGGCTTTAAACAACTTCTCCTTTTTCCGTCTTTTGTCTGCCTCCGCTGGGTCCTCTAGTGAGACGGACTGGACATGATAGGATGAATGTTCTGGTTCATACACATGCAGGTCACCAGGTCGCTGACCAGAATAGCGTGAGGTGGACGGTGTGTTGGAGGATATGGAAGATGACCGGGAGCGTGGGGATGTTGGAGACTTGGCCAGCTGTAAGTTGGACACCAGAAACAATGATGAAACAATATTCAAAATCTTCCGCTATTTTATTATTTTTCCATTCTCTTCCAAGATATGAGTTGCTGGTAAGGCCAATATTAATATTTAAGCCTTAAGGTAAATATTAATGTAAGAGAGTTATTACATTAGGGTTGAGTAGACAGAGAAATGATTCAAAAATCAGCACAATGAATCTAACAGAGGAAAGTGGTGTGAGACAAAGGCTACCTGCTGCCTAAAAACCAGAAAGTCTACGCCCTCAGCAGCGACTTGCAGCCACCTTTGAACTTTGACATTCTGGGCCAAGGAAATAGCAGTCTGCCTTTTCCTGTTACAGACAGTTGAGTCAGCACCATTCTCTAACAGAGTCCTCACGATGTTTTCTTGAAAATTCAATAGTAAAAAAATTCTATTAAAAACCATAACAAATCAAGTAAATTTGTAGTTTCAACTATACTAAAGTTAAACATTTAAAAAATGTGAAATTTGATGACATAATCATACTAATATTTAGGCTGGTTAGTTGTAAGGCCAGTCATTTACTTGCCAGTTCTGGGAACTAAGCAGTTCTGTATTGATTAACCCCTTAATCAAGGCTGACTTCAGATTCAATGCTAACAGTTGTCACAGGGTGTGTTTCAAAGCTAGGACCAGGCCAGATCAATTTTAACAAAAGCATGCTGTTTTAGCTGTGATAATGGCCAAAGTTATTCAGCTGAAACTCAATTATGTCATCACTTCAAATTGTCGTGTATTGTTTATAAACAGCCTTTTTCATTACTTTACTTTTAGCAAGGTTTTTACCAAACTAAGGAACAATCCCAAAAAGGAATGCCTCAGTTGATGACCAACTGAATAGATTTCATAAGGGCTGATTCATCATCAGTGTCTGTCTGTTATACTTTGTCAGGACAGGTGGATGTGGTATAAATTCTAAATATAGTTGCTTTATGATACATTAAATGGGCTGGTTAGATACAACTTATCATACTAGGGGCAACTATAATTCTAAATGTTTCTTGCAATGGTAAAAAAACATAAAAAAAAAAACAACAACATAAACATGTTGACATGAGTCCTAATCTGTATAACGTCCCTTTACTGAAATCAAAGTAAATCCAAAAACCAGGACTTACCAAATCCCCATTTGGCAGCCAAATGCAGGGGCGTGTCTCCAACCTCATTCTGGGCGTTTATGTTAAGTCTCCTTAGGTTAGCATCATAAAAAACCAGAGCCTTCACACACTGGGAAGTAAAAATTAAATGTTTAACAATAGAACTGTCAAATGTATCATACAAAACTGCAAAAGTTTAATACTAAAAAGCATTTCATTTACTTATGTGAATTCAATAAGAGGGAGAGTAACAAAGTCTCTACAGTACACAACTCACATCCTCAACACACACACAATATAAGGGAGAGGTTTGAGTACACAACTCACATCCTCAACACACTCAATATAAGGGAGAGGTTTGAGTAAACAAAGGTAACACACAATATAAGGGAGGGGTTTGCGTAAACAAAATCTCTACAGTACACAACTCACATCCTCATGTCCATTAGCACAGCTGAGGTGAAGCGCTGAGTTCCCTTCGTTGTCTGTCATCATCACGTCTGCTCCAAAGTGCAGGAGGAGCAACTGGGAATTGAAATGTCAAAATCTCAACTTGTTAGATTTAAAAACAAAATCACAGTTGATACAAAAATAAAAGTCAATATTTTAGGGTAATTTATTATTTACAAGTGATCGCAGTATTCTAAATACAAAATAAATATGGAATACACAAGATAAAGTAATTAGTTGCCATACTTAAAGCCCCCACCACCTATGTCAGTATCATCACAAGTTTACTGCTATTGGAGCCTGAGACAAAAGCAGGTGCTAACAATACTGACAGTTGAGACAGTTTAAAATTATATAAGCTGAATCTATCAAAGAGAACTTAAAAAACCTCAACTGGAATTCACACAAAACTAACCATAACATTTTGGTAGCCTCTCTGACAAGCCAGATGTAAGGGAGTTAACCCCAAGTAGTCTGTAGCATCTACCACAGCATTATTCTTGATCAGCAAGTCAATCAGTAGAGCCTGGCCATAGTAGGCAGCTATGTGAAGGGCTGGAATCACAAAGATTTAATTAGATTTAATTACTGGGGCCATAGTAGGCAGCTATGTGAAGGGCTGGAATCACAAAGATTTAATTACTGGGACCATAGTAGGCAGCTATGTGAAGGGCTGGAATCATAAAGATTTAATTACTGGGGCCATAGTAGGCAGCTATCTGAAGGGCTGGAATCATAAAGATTTAATTAGATTTAATTACTGGGACCATAGTAGGCAGCTATGTGAAGGGCTGGAATCATAAAGATTTAATTACTGGGACCATAGTAGGCAGCTATGTGTAGGGCTGGAATCATAAAGATTTAATTACTGGGGCCATAGTAGGCAGCTATGTGAAGGGCTGGAATCATAAAGATTTAATTACTGGGGCCATAGTAGGCAGCTATGTGAAGGGCTGGAATCATAATGATTTAATTACTGGGACCATAGTAGGCAGCTATGTGAAGGGCTGGAATCATAAAGATTTAATTAGATTTAATTACTGTGACCATAGTAGGCAGCTATCTGAAGGGCTGGAATCACAAAGATTTAATTACTAGGGCCATAGTTGGTAGCTATGTGTAGGGCTGGAATCACAAAGATTTAATTAGATTTAATTACTAGGGCTATAGTAGGCAGCTATATGTAGTGCTGGAATCACAAAGATTTAATTACTAGAGATAGTAGGCAGCTATGTGTAGAGCTGGAATCATAAAGATTTAATTACTAAAGATAGTAGGCAGCTATGTGTAGGGCTGGAATCATAAAGATTTAATGATTTAATTACTGGGGCCATAGTAGGCAGCTATGTGAAGGGCTGGAATCATAAAGATTTAATTACTGGGGCCATAGTAGGCAGCTATGTGAAGGGCTAGAATCATAAAGATTTAATTAGATTTAATTACTGGGGCCATAGTAGGCAGCTATATGAAGGGCTGGAATCATAAAGATTTAATTACTGGGACCATAGTAGGCAGCTATGTGAAGGGCTGGAATCACAAAGATTTAATTACTGGGGCCATAGTAGGCAGCTATGTGAAGGGCTGGAATCATAAAGATTTAATTAGATTTAATTACTGGGGCCATAGTAGGCAGCTATCTGAAGGGCTGGAATCATAAAGATTTAATTAGATTTAATTACTGGGACCATAGTAGGCAGCTATGTGAAGGGCTGGAATCATAAAGATTTAATTACTGGGACCATAGTAGGCAGCTATGTGTAGGGCTGGAATCATAAAGATTTAATTACTGGGGCCATAGTAGGCAGCTATGTGAAGGGCTGGAATCATAAAGATTTAATTACTGGGGCCATAGTAGGCAGCTATGTGTAGGGCTGGAATCACAAAGATTTAATTACTAGGGCCATAGTTGGTAGCTATGTGTAGGGCTGGAATCACAAAGATTTAATTACTAAAGATAGTAGGCAGCTATGTGTAGGGCTGGAATCATAAAGATTTAATGATTTAATTACTGGGGCCATAGTAGGCAGCTATGTGAAGGGCTGGAATCACAAAGATTTAATTACTGGGGCCATAGTAGGCAGCTATGTGAAGGGCTAGAATCATAAAGATTTAATTAGATTTAATTACTGGGACCATAGTAGGCAGCTATATGAAGGGCTGGAATCACAAAGATTTAATTACTGGGGCCATAGTAGGCAGCTATGTGAAGGGCTGGAATCATAAAGATTTCATTAGATTTAATTACTGGGGCCATAGTAGGCAGCTATATGAAGGGCTGGAATCACAAAGATTTAATTACTAGTGCCATAGTAGGCAGCTATGTGAAGGGCTGGAATCATAAAGATTTAATTACTGGGGCCATAGTAGGCAGCTAAGTATAGGGCTGGAATCATAAAGATTTAATTACTGGGACCATAGTAGGCAGCTATGTGTAGGGCTGGAATCATAAAGATTTAATTACTGGGGCCATAGTAGGCAGCTATGTGAAGGGCTGGAATCACAAAGATTTAATGATTTCATTAAGAGTCAGCAATGGTCATTGTTCTTGATGTCAGCTTGACTTAACAGCATGACACACTGCTGCTGCCCACCATAGAATCACTTGTTATTGACCCAATTATGTGCCCCTTACCACTTCTGACCTACCAATTGTCATCCACCCCTCCCCCCCATGTGTAGCTGACCTACCTGTATATCCCTTGTTGTCTCTAGTGTAGGCTGTGACCAGGTTGGAATTGTTCCGTAAGGTAGACAGCAGCTTGTCACACCTGTCTGTCCCCCCCCCCCCCCATGTGTAGCTGACCTACCTGTATATCCCTTGTTGTCTCTAGTGTAGGCTGTGACCAGGTTGGAATTGTTCCGTAAGGTAGACAGCAGCTTGTCACACCTGTCTGTCCCCCCCCCCCCCCCCATGTGTAGCTGACCTACCTGTATACCCCCTGTTATCTCTTGTGTAGGCTGTGACCAGGTTGGAATTGTTCCGTAAGGTAGACAGCAGCTTGTCACACCTGTCTATCCCCCCCCCCCCATGTGTAGCTGACCTACCTGTATATCCCCTGTTATCTCTAGTGTAGGCTGTGACCAGGTTGGAATTGTTCCGTAAGGTAGACAGCAGCTTGTCACACCTGTCACAAGAACACAGTGGGTGACACAGCTGCAGGTAGATCTCCTCACTTGTCTTCTGGGGTCTCTCCAACATCTGCTCCACTTTCTTCTCCTCGCCCTCCTGCACCAGCTGGGACATTCAAATACATCTCATTACACCATCCTTACATATCGTTACACCATCCTTACACTTATTACACCATCCTTACATCTTATTACACCATCCTTACATCTTATTACACCATCCTTACATCTTATTACACCACTCTTACATCTTATTACACCACTCTTACATCTTATTACACCACTCTTACATCTTATTACACCACTCTTACATCTTATTACACCATCCTTACATCTTATTACATCATCCTTACATCTCATTACACAATCTTTACATCTCATTACACAATCTTTACATCTTATTAAGCCATGCTTACATCTCATTACACAATCTTTGCATCTCATTAAACCATCCTTACATATCATTACACAATCTTTACATCTTAGTACACAATCTTTACATCTTATTAAGCCATGCTTACATCTCATTACACAATCTTTGCATCTCATTAAACCATCCTTACATCTCATTACACAATCTTTACATCTTATTACACAATCTTTACATCTTATTAAGCCATGCTTACATCTCATTACACAATCTTTACATCTCATTACACAATCTTTACATCTTATTAATCCATCCTTACATCTTGTTACACCATTGCTACATCTTATCACAACATCTCTAAGACATGGACATTTTATCACCTTGTGGCCATATCCTTTAAGATAATTTATTTAGGGGTCATCCATAAAAGAAGTCACAAAATTTAATCTCATTTTTCAAGTGACATTGTTTTTTCAACAACTTTTTCCCCCAACACATTTTAACATCCATTTATGTACTGATAGGCCCACATAATTAGTGTTAATTGTTTTACAATTTTAACCCACCTTAAAAAACTCATCAATGATAGAGTTGTGGGAGATCTGTCTCGCTGGTGATGATGTGGATGATGATGAGGAAGAGGACGACGTCTCAGCAGGATCAGTGACAAGGATACTGTTCCATCGTTCCCTCTGTCGGATGCACAAATTCAAACGTTTTAAAAATCCTAACACAACTCTTAAGATATTTTAAAAATAATTTTGATACAGATACATGTATTTTAAAATGTTGATTAAAAATTAAATTTTATTCTTTCAATAAACACCACAATAAATAAAGATCTTTCAAGATGAAATAAGTGGCCAATTTGAATAAAAAAAAAACACATCCAATCCACTATTCAATTAAAGGAGTTCAAACATTTATTTCCTCTTTAATGTTTCCAGTCTGAATAAAAAAAAACCCACATCCAATCCATTATTCAATTAAATCAGTTCAAGCCTTACCTTCAGTGGTTTTATTTCCTCTTTAATGGTTCCAGTCCGAGTAAAAAAAAACACATCCAATCCATTATTAAATTAAAGCAGTTGAAACCTTACCTTCAGTGGTTTTATTTCCTCTTTAATGTTTCCAGTCCGAATATGCTCTAGTGCTGCTTCCACAGAGGCCAAGTAAAACCTGTTTGATAAATTAAATTTACATTTCCTCAACTTTATCTTCAATCACAAGACATAGATTAACAAAGTTAAACAGCGAACCTTAATCTCACTTTAGGGGCATAGCTGACTCAGACAATGCTCTAAAGTCAAGATAAAGAATAGAACACTTCTCATATTGTTAGTAACTAGACCCATTTAAAAATAAGTAAACAAATCGACTGCATAATTAAAAAAAAAATGTGTTAGTTATGCTACAAATGTGTAATATATTTAAAAATGCTACAACTGAAGTATTACCCACAAATTTGTTAGCTATGCTACAAATGTGTAATATATTTAAAACTAATACAACTGAAGTATTACCCAAACTCATCATCGTCAGATGACTTGGCAAAATGAAAATGCCGCATGTAAACAAGATTTGCCATCCTGGAATTTAAAATTGGATACCATTTCTAAAGTAAACATTCAATAAACATCATACATCCAAAAATTCTACCTACACAACAGCAAGTGTACCAATAGAAGAATGTGTTTACCTAAATAGGATTAGAATAAAAAGTCAGAAAAAACATGAGAACTAACCAGTTTGGAATCTCAGATTTGATGATTAGAAAAATCAAAATAGGAAGCAAATCATCACTGGTCATCATTACAACAGTATCTATAGAAAAATGAACAACGACAGTAGACAAGCACACCTAACCCCACGTCCTATATTTTGACATCATTAAACAGAAAGCTGTTTCTGGCAATAGAAATTATACCGCAACTCTTACATAGTTTAACATCAGTACACAGACAAGTTGATGCTGACAATAGAAATCATATAGTACCTTTTATGTTGTCTTTATTCATGGACTTGGGTGGTTTGGTCAGTGCTGACACCACCCTTTTGATACAGAACAGTCGACCAACTGGTGTGCTGTAGCGATTCAGCTGACTCAGCTCTTTTTTAGCAGGGAGAATATTTTGGCTGGAAGACGGAAGAAAATAAGTACTTTACTGTTAACAGGGCTTTTTAAGCAGGGAGAATATTTGAGAAAAGATGTGTTTAACAGCAAATATATTTTATCAATGTTACAATTTTTGACACAAAATAATGATAGCAGACCCTACAGCAGCCATGCTGCTACTGCTGTTGTAAATCATCTAAGTTAGTTAATTAAAAAAAGCTGATCATCCCAACAAACCTGAAAATTTTCCTGATCCCAAGGTCAGACAGCTGAAGGTCAACCAGGTTACGGGTCAGTTTGTTGAGTTCTGAGTCTTGGGCTGCCATTGTTGCAGTGATGACCCGAAACAGACGTTTGTGTACGGCATTCATCATGTAGGTCTATAAATATGTCATGTACATTCATCATGTAGGTCTATAAATATGTCATGCACATTCATCATGTAGGTCTATAAATATGTCATGTACATTCATCATGTAGGTCTATAAATATGTCATGCACATTCATCATGTAGGTCTATAAATATGTCATGTACATTCATCATGTAGGTCTAAAATAGGTCATGTACATTAATCATGTAGGTCTATAAATAGGTCATGTACATTCATCATGTAGGTCTATAAATAGGTCATGTACATTCATCATGTAGGTCTAAAATAGGTCATGTACATTCATCATGTAGGTCTATAAATATGTCATGTACATTCATCATGTAGGTCTAAAATAGGTCATGTACATTAATCATGTAGGTCTATAAATAGGTCATGTACATTCATCATGTAGGTCTATAAATAGGTCATGTACATTCATCATGTAGGTACTTAAATAGGTCATGTACATTCATCATGTAGGTCTATAAATAGGTCATGTATATTCATCATATAGGTCTATAAATAGGTCATGTACATTCATCATGTAGGTCTTTAAATCGATCATTAATTAATTATTTATGTACAACATTTGTCATGAGATCTATAAATAAGCTATTTGTAATGTGGATGATTGGCTCAATACTGACATTAACTTTTTGTTGCCATGTCATTATATCAGTAATCTTTTAAAAAGTATATATATATTTCAATCTATTCCAATTCATTACTTATTTAACTACTTTTAGTTTTAAAAATGTTTAATCAAGTTGAAAATTTAAAAAATACCTCCACTGCCACCTTGAGATTTTCCATATAGCTTGCATTGTGACGGGCTGACTTCCTCTGTGAACATAACATTATTCATGAACATTGTTTTCTACCCAGATTTTTAATTAGGGTACACGTATATTGTCCTGAGATAATGACCACTGACCACAACAGAGTCCTTCAGTAAAAGCTGCACGGCTTTGGTGAATTGTGTGTTGGCTGCATCCTGTGAATGACAGTAAATGTTCAATTAGTGTGAGGATGTTTTTTTGTAGTAGAAAGGTCGTAACTTAAATAAACTTTGTCAAGATTAAAAGACTATTTATTTCTTAAATATCTTAAGTGATAAAATTGCTAACACTGACATACTTTTTTTTTTTAGCTTTGAGCTTAAGATTACAAACGCAGTATTCTTGACAAATGTTTAGTATATTTCAAAGACGTTTGTAAATTTTTTTGTACTACTCTCATTGCATTTGTTATGTCCCCTAAAATATAAAATCAGTGTTTAATTGCTGAAAGGGCATAACAATGTTATTTTAATGCACCCCCCCCCCCCAACCCCTGACCCAATAGTGCTACAGACAGAGAAAATACTTAGATTACAACACTCTAATACCCTAGCTATGTCTTGCTATGAAGCAAAAGTTGTCCTCACCACAATACTTCTGAGACTTTCCCCCTCCAGCCTGTCATAGGTGACAGCAAATGTGTTCAGCACTTTGTCCAGGGACTCCCTCATCCTCTGTCCACCTGAGAGAAGGTAACAATACACAGCTCATACATTCTTTCTCCACTGGCATTAACTCAACATGTACAGTACTTAACTACATGAAGTAGTGGATGAAATCAGCAAGTTCATTTAGATTAACATCAACCTTAAATTTTTTGAGCAATTATTTATTTTCAATCCTAATATATAAAAGTCCATGTGCGCTCTTCTCTCTCTCTCTCTCTCTCTGTCTATCCGCAAAATATTTTCGCCGGACATCACGTCAGAATCGTCAGCGATATATGGATACCTTTATACGGACTTTTGTTGAAAATAATATGTTAGATGTTTTAAATGTATAACCACAATTTTATTTAAAGAAGAAAAATAAAAAATAAAGGCGTATTCGAATGTCGAGAAACAGTATTATTTATGCAACCGGAAAAGTGTTTAAACTAGGGACAAGAATGCATTTAACAATGACGTCGCTTATTGTTTACACTTAAAAAAGAGCAGGAAGCTGATGACGTCATCTTCCGAGTTTAGAATAAAAAGAAATGAACTATTTCATTCAAATATGATTTAGAACTATGTACGCTATGAAATGTATACAATACGATTTTCTCGGCCTAAACTTAAAAAAATTATTTTATCTATTTGGATTCTAGATCTAGAGATTCTAGATCTATATATTGATCTAGATCTAGATATTCTAGATCATCTAGATCTAGAGATTCTAGATCATATAGATCTAGAGATTCTAGATCTAGATGATCTATAAAGCAAAGTTGTCGGGTGCCCGACAGGGCACTTCCCGGCGCAGCAGGCGCTTCAAATTTGGCAGGATCTTGCCTTGGGGCGACAGAACACGGAGGCCGGTTGGCCGAAAAGTCTATGATGAGGGGGTCAAAACTGACCTCGACTGACCGGCGCCTTATATGGGCGAATTAATTAAGCATTCAAATTCTCAATGTTTTCTAAAGCCTAAGCGAAGCTGGGCTGCATGCCTAGTTAAATATAAAATCCTATAAAAAAGGACAAAATGACAGTATGTTTTAGCATGAATTGCACACAGAGAAAAAAATCATGTGAGCATAAGCACCCCAAGATCAAGCCTTACCTTCATTAGACCAGAGTAGCTCCAACATCTGGTGGTAACTAGTGGGGGATGTGGGTTTTGATGAGCTCTTCTCTGTTTGTTTGTCTAAAGTCAAATGTAGAGGGATAGGCCTACTTACTCAATCATTTATCAAGTTTAAAAAAAAATGATACATGTATCAAGCTATACAGCATGACTTAGGAATGTGAATATAAAATAGGAGCTTCATGGTGGACTAAGATAGAAGAGCAACAAAATCAGCCAATCAGATCTAACTAAACAAGTGAAAAGGTCAGAGCTGAACTCACCAAGTTCTCTGTTGACCAATGCCTCAACACAAAACACCCTGTAGCTGCCATTGTCTGTGTGGAATGTCTCAGCAAACAGCACAGGCACCTGCTCAAAGTAGGTAGACAGGAAGTAAATAGTTGTAACAGGCAGAAACATAAACACTCAAGTACTAGTGAAACATGTAGGTAGACAGGAAGTAAATAGTTTTAACAGGCAGAAACACTCTAACACTGTCCCATTTCTACAAACTTCTAAAAGTTGGTCAACAATGTATTGCTGATGAATGTTAGAAAGCAAAAAGGTTGTGTTACTTACTTGTCTGCTTACTTCAAAGCCATCTTTTGTAATTATTTTGCCTCCAGAATACTGAACACTCTGTCAAAAGGTTCATAAATATTTAGGAAAACAGTTTAATGGAGAATTTTATTATATTGTTTGAATAAATAAAAAATAAAAACAACAACTAAGGAGACTAAAAAAAAAACAATCAAAAAGTGATATATTTATGACTATAAAGCTTTGAAATACCTTTCTAGAAAGAGTTGTAAAGTCATCAGCATCGTCATCTATTTCATTGGTAGGGAAAAGGATATGGTCCTCGATATCTTGTTGAGTTGGAATGATATGGGCGGCAATTGAGTACTTTGGAATACAAAGCTGTTTGAGAAAGAGAAATAATGTTAATATAAGATGTACAGTTAGTTCTCATCATGCATCAGAATATAACACAAATAAGATATACTGGATAGATTAGTACCTTTAATTTAAATTTAACACTTCTTTCCCAACAATTTTTAATAAAAATATTACTTTTTTTCCAAAAAAAATAATAAAATAGCCAAAAATAAGGTAGGCTATTAGCAAATTAGAAAAAAAAGACCTAGCAATATGTATGCCATATACCCACCAACTATACAATACATTGTTACAAAAGTTACAAGCCAAACTTCATAAAATTCCATTTCCCAAAAATAAATATAAATGCTGAATGTATCCTTATTTCCAACACCACATAGATCTACATGTGAGTGTGACTTATCATTAGTAGCAAAATTAACAACTAGTTATACTCACAACTCCTTTGCGCTGGACAGCTTGCTCTAAGTAGTCTGGATGGTTGGTTGTGATTTTGGTGAAAAATGGATTTTCATAAACGTCCTCATCATAAATGGATGACATCATTTAAAGAGTTATAAGCAGTTTATAAAATATAAACCATTATATTATAGCTGAAAGGTAAAAATTAAAAATAATAATTTATAATAAAGATGATAAGAAAGATAAAAATAAGATTTTTAAGTTAACTTGAGTTCTGTAGTCACTGTAGATATCTAGCAGTAAACATTGTAACAAGTATAGTAGCTACTAGTATAAATAAGTTAAATAAGTATATTCTAGTAGATCTTGCTAGGCCTACTGGTTATTAGATCTAATTTGGTTAAAATGTGCACGCTCACTTAGCAGCAGTAATCAAAACCTAGCTAGTAGCTAGACTCTAGATTAGAATTAGATCTTTCTAGATCTAGATCTATAATTATATGATCTTGCTTCATGCAAAATATCGGACTTACTATGTTTCATTAAGAACAATCAATGATTGTTATTCATCGTCATTCGAATGTTATTTAAAGTTATTTAAACTATTTAAAGAGCACTTTCTGTATCACTAGTCTAAGAGTCTAATGTTTACGTCGCCATATCAAACTTTAGAAACCGGATGTGTGACCATGAATTAAGCTCTTAAACAGAAGATTGAAAACAAACAGAGCACTTGGCAATAAAAACAACGACATTCAAATCAAATGTAGAATTGAACTATTATTTATTTGCGACTATAAATAAAAATAAAATAAAAATTCATATTGTTTGATCTAGATCTATATTATTTAGTAATATGTGTTCCTCCTCTTTAGCCTTAAGTTGGCAAGTCATTATTATCAATCTGAAACGGTGTCTATTATAAATAATCTCAATTTCAAATCTCACCCCTCCCCCCCCCCCCCCGGACGAGGAAAATATACAATTTATATTGTAACTATATACCTGAACAGTGTCACCCCCACCCCTCTCCTCCAAACAGTTCCAAGTGCCTACCTCTTGAGAAAAATATCAGAAAGAAACCCTGATTAAATTGATTTAAATGAACGCTAGAAAATCTCAACGCACTTTTAAATTTTTTCTAAATGGTGTCTTTTAGTTTTATTATTAATTGGGGTTTTAAAATATTCTTTGTTATTGATTGCATTTTTATTGTTATGTTTTAACCTCGTGTAGTTTATAATTTGTGGGCTTGATTTTATTTTATTTAACCTAACAACAACAAAAATAAGGCAACATATCTAAATATGGTTGATACGTGCGAGTTTTACACCTCTGGCGATGATAGCCAAGTAACTGAAGAACAATAAGTACTCATTCGCATTATGCGAACCCCAAACCACCCCCACCCCCCCCCCCCCCCCCCCGTGCGTCAGGTGCCACATGATGAATGCACTTAATCTGTGGTAGATGAATCGTATCGAATGGAACGAGGCAGTTAACTACATTATGCTGATTACGGTTGATGACATACTGAAGATAAGGTGTATAAAAAGATGGGAGGTCTATCACATCACTGAAAGTTTATGCGTGGTGTCAAACAAAGGTAAGCGCTTTTAAACACTTTGGTTGTTCAGTGAGTTACTGGCCTTTAAGCTTTAAATATAAAGTTTGGTTTGTGTATTTGTATAGAGAGTTACTGGTCTTTACATATCGATTCTTTTTAAATTACACTACACTGATCTGAGCATTTGTACAGGAGTTACTGGCCTTTGTGTGTTTTTATATGGATTTAATTTCATTATAGTCTACTCACTTTTTATCATCTTCGACATCCGGGACTGTTTTGAAGTTTAACAAGTATTTCTTAAGCTTGGTCTTCGGGTGCAAAACATTTAAGTCAGGTTTACAGATGCGGTAGATCGCCAAATACCACACAGTTAAACTATCTTGTTGAATGATCTTTCTAAAGACAGTAGATCGCCCTATACTGGACCTTATCTATATCACACAGTTAAACTGTCTTGTTGAATGATCTTTCTAAAGACACAATAGATCGCCATATATTGAGCCTATCTATATTACACAGTTAAACTATCTTGTTGGATGATTTCTAAAGACACAATAGATCGCCCTATACTGGGCTTATCTATATCGAATGATCATTCGAAAGAAAACGACACAGTCATCTTTGTACTTGTAGTCGTGCATGTTTTGCTTGCCGTACACAAATACTGACATGCATGTTATAACACTGCTATATAGCAGAAGAGTATAGAGGCCCATACTAAACTTACAAAGGATGCTGCGGAGATTTGGTTGAAAGGAAATTCCCGCAAGGTTATAAATAGTAATTTAATAGGACTATTTTTTAGATGTATTGACGGTGATGCAATGTGTGCGGAAAGTTTGAGGAAAACATATTTTTGTCAAAATAAAACAACATGACAGAGACTAGGTATAGACTAATTTGAAAAGGTTAACGAAAAAGAGTAATAAAAAAAATGGGCCAGCGAAAAAAAAAAAAAATGACTGCGTTAATGTAAGTTTTATCGTGTTTCAGGTGAAACAATGGTTCTAACTTCTTATTTCTCTGCCTGTCTGGTGGTGCTGACCCTACAGTCACATGGTGAGAACCACTGAAACTAAACTAAAACTACATAACATACACCATATAGGTCATTACATAACATACACCATATAGGTCACTACATAACCTACCCGACAGTGGTCAATACATAACCTACACCATATAGGTCACTACATAACCTACACCATATAGGTCACTACATAACCTACACGACAGCGGTCACTATTTGAAAACCTCGGTGCAAAAAATACTCAAGTCACAAAATAAGTATTTAAAGAAAAGAGAGTTCGCAAATTCGAATTGACTGTAAAAGTAAATATTTATATTCATAGTTGGTTGGAAAAGAGGCTGAACAACATACATGAACATTCAGATTTGTAGCCTTACAGCGGGTAAAGTTAAAACTAAAAGAGTAGCAGAACGTTTTTGTTTTTACCTGTTAGCACTGAGGTCTTCATTTGATTTGCTTGAATACTGAACTAGATAGCTTTTTAAATATTTGTAAAATTAGGTATTTAATTTAAATTAGATGATAAGAGCAATGCATTAAGATTTTAAAAATCTGTTGTTCAGCCATCGCTGTTAATTCAGCGGTCGTGGGCTCCGAACCCCGGTCCTTACACAAGCGAGGTCTGGAATCGCTGTGTATCCTGGTCACCTCCATGACCAGCCGGAACTGTTGGGACTTTGCTGACTACGGCTGTACCTGTGGTCTCAAGGGTCAGAGTGACCTTGTGCCAGTGGACAGTGTGGACAGGTCAGCAGGCAACTTTTGGTTTGTTTTGGTGGTTTTGTTTTGGTGTTTTATTTTGGTGGTTTTGTTTTGGTGGTTTTGTTTTGGTGATTTTGTTTTGGTGTTTTGTTTTGGTGGTTTTGTTTTGGTGGTTTTGTTTTGGTGGTTTTGTTTTGGTGGTTTTGTTTTAGTGGTTTTGTTTTGGTGGTTTTGTTTTGGTGGTTTTGTTTTGGTGGTTTTGTTTTGGTGGTTTTGTTTTGGTGGTTTTATTTTGGTGGTTTTGTTTTGGTGTTTTGTTTTGTTGGTTTTGTTTTAGTGGTTTTGTGTTGGTGGTTTTGCGTTGGTGGTTTTGTTTTAGTGGTTTTGTTTTAGTGTTTTGTTTTGGTGGTTTTGTTTTGATGGTGTGGTGGTTTTGATTGGTGGTTATTGGGCTGCTATTTTATACAATTATTTGGTTCAGCGTGGTACGGAAGCATACATTGTTTTGGGTGGGTTAGCTAGGTGCGAATACTATGCATTTTGTGAAGTAATTATCGTTTGTGTTGTTGTGATGAGTAATGACTGATTATGGTATTGGTATTATTCTTACTTGGTAGTGGATCAAGACTGGTTCAACCCCTCACAGCCCTATCATACACCGCTAGATGTATCGATACTATCTTCTTCTCGTATCGCCAATACAACACTGATCATAATCCTGGCCCAAGCCCCGATGATTAACATAACCAGCTGTTGTGTCATGTCATTATCAGTAAAAAAAAACATGGCGTCCATCCAATCATTGACTGGACACTCTCGCCCACAGATGCTGTCTTGACCGCTTGACATGCTACCAGCAGCTGAATTGTTCCACGCCCTTTTTTATCGACAGCGGAGTGATATGTACACAAGATGGCTGCAACTGTACCGGTAAGTTTGAACTTTAGCAAGTTTTCTAAGACAACCGATTCATTTTTTTTACCAGGGCTTGACATCAGTGTTTCTTCCAGACTTTTTTTTCGAGGGGGGGGGGGGGGGCGGACACTGTTTAAAATAAAAGTATATATTTTCTATATAAATTCCATTTCGTTCAGGGGGGTGGTAGACTTTCTTCGGGGGGGGGGGGGGTGGCTGGAAAAAACTCTGCTTGACATGATCTAAGGGTAAAATGTTGAGTCTTGGCAGGAATAAGTCTAGACTCTAGAGTGATTGCTGCAACAGTTACGCTGGACAACTCTAGAGCCACACCTGACCAGAAAGACTTCCCGATTCTTATACAGGAACACACTCTACATATATATTTCTCGGATGTTAAGTAATGAAAGTTTATATCTTTTCTAAAACTGCAGACACAGAGACGGGCTCGTGTGAGTACCAGACATGTCAGTGTGACCTCCAGTTTGGACTGTGTCTCTCCAGTCGTGGCACCTTTGACAGAACCTACGAGAACTACGACAGGACCAAATGTAAAAACGTCTAGAGCAAAGAGTTTTTAATAAAATGTATCTGGCATGTTGTGTTATTTAAAGTTTCTTTAAAAAAAATGATCGTCCATAAATGACGTCACGCTCCCAGGATAGTTCGGGTGGAATGGGGTTAGTCAAGGTGAATAAAATTCTTTAACATTGTGGTTAATTGATGCAAATGGGAGAATCTAGCGTCTAATTATGGGTCTTACTCTTTATGACCATAACTATATCACAATGATGTAGGGTGGTGGGCTAAAGTAGCGTGACGTCATTTGTAAACGACCCCCCCAGCCGTAAAAAAACTGTACACTACAGGAAATCTTAAGGCAGAGGCGTAGCGACCCTTCCCGGCGCCCGGGGACAAACTTTTCGATTTGCACCCCCACCTCGAGATTTCGATTTGCACCCCCCTCGAGATTTCGATTTGCACCCCCCCCCCCCTCAAACTTTCGATTTGCACCCCCCTCAACCTTTCAATTTATTTTTCCAACCCATTTTGGCGCCCCCTAAGGTCGGCGCCCGGGAACATATGTCCCCCCCCCCCTCGCTACGCTACTGTCTTAAGGATTAGAGCACATTATACAACCACACAGCAGTGTTTACATTCACATTGTGTGTGGTTTTGTTTTCGTATTGTTTGACACACATCCGGTCTGTGACCAGAACCAATGGCTGTTGAGGAAACATTTAGCTCGACACACTCACTTGAAAGTAGTTAACACATCAGTCTGTGTGTAGTGAGTGGCGAACGTCGTGTACTCAACATACAGGTCCTATTGACAACAACGACAGCACGGAGAGGGTGGGGAGGCGGGGAGGGTTTGTAGCTACACCCGCCAAAGTCTGGGGCTGGACTCTTATATTTTGTTACCGTCTTTGTATTTGTTTTAAAAAATTACCCTCCCCATGTCATTACCATGCACCCATTCACTAGAATGATACACCTCTGTTTAACCGGTATGAGTTTTTATTTGTTATCAAGTGCTTTTCGAAAATAGCATGTTGTGAGTCCCTGTTTCTAACTGTACAAGGTAAACATTGTTTGTACCGTTCTGCCAGTCAATTGATTAAATTAAAAGTTACCCAAGTGTTTTTGGGTATTTATCAAACGTTATGACCTATTCAAAGCTTCTGTTTTGATGGAATCTTTGCCCTAAATCTGGCCACAACACAATCCGTAGCACTGAAAGTGATCATTATCTCTGTCCTTAAACGTTCGAAATAGCTAAAAGGTGTTTGCACCGAATTTAGGAAAAAAATTTTAATTTTTTTTTTTAAATTCGTATATTCTATCCTAAGCCCCTATCCTGATTTTTTTCTATCTAAAAACGAAACTGGCATAAAAAAAACGTGATATGATACAAAGTTATCCTGCATGTTTAAGGACCAGCACTTGTTTATATTTTGGGAACAACTGTCCTTGTTTTAAGGAGTAAAAAATAATTACTAGAGTGTAGAATATTTGAAAACCTCATACTATTTTCAGGCTATCACCAACACACCCACCCCTTCCCAATGTAAAAAAATAAATTTAAAATAAAATTTCAATTATTTAGATTGGAGCCTGCATTTAGTGCAAACATAACAAGAAGCATTAAAATGTTGAATGTGTTACATATATTTTATAAATAGTTTAGTCATATATACATATATACGATGACAAAAATGCACTCAAGTATCACATGTTTGAAGTATTTAAAGCTTAAATAAATTGAAGCTTGAAGAATATTCCAGTTTTTAAATAAAGATGTTCACTTAGGTGCGAGAACTGGCTCAGAGGGAGCGAACTCGTAGATTTTTGGATCGGCGTTAAATCTGACTAGCCTCCCTTTGTCCCGGGTTAGACTGCTCTGACCTGAAGAGTCCGAGTCAAGTACTGCGCGTTTGGCGTGCACACTGAAGGTGCTAGTGGAGATGTTTTTTACTGACGGTGCTGCTGGGGATGACGGGTAGCGACGTTTTGTTGTTGTTGACATCGCCGTTGCTGTAAACGTACGGCGACGACCGACTTGTTTGTTTGAGTATCGGTCGTGTCCGTGTCGTTTGGCGGTCATCCGATTCGAAGATTATCGTGATTGGTTTGTCGTAGTCGATTTCCGGTTCCGGTAAAAGCGAAAACTCCGTTTCCGGTTCGGTGGTGTTTTGATCGTCGTCTGAGTGTTTCCACCACGGCGATTTGTTGATGTGCACTGTAGTCTTTTGGAAACTAGGGCGTGGCTTCAGGTCGGGCAGTGTCCTCCGGGGGGAGATGACGGGCGAGGGTGCCGGGGAGAAGGGCGGCGAGGAGGCGCGCAGTGACGTAGGCGATAAGAAAACCCGAGCGTCGTTTAGCTGCAGGCTGTTTGACGAGTCGGTGGCGAGGGGACTTGAATCGGACGTGCTGTGTACATTTTTTTCCGAGGATGTCGGAATACCTGACCCTGGAGTGGCAGATCTGGTAAATTTGGTTCAGGTCGTTGGTCACTGAGCCCATGACCGTGTTGGCCAGGTCGATGAAGGAATTGTTCTCGTTGGAGCTCGGTTGTGGCTCCATCCAGCTGTTCAAACTACGGGTGGTGGGGGCGAGGTGTGTTTTTATATCCATCTGGGAGGGGGATTTGACAAACAGACGTGGGCTGTTGGTGCTGGCTGCTGTTAAAGTCTCGTCATAGTTCCACCTGGGGGAGGTGGGAATGGCGAAACCCAGGCGGCCCGTGGGGTGGAGACTTGAGGCGTCCTGGTTCCATTTGTTGGTGAATAGAGTGTCCTCGATGGTGTTGTCGTGTGCGGTCGTGTCTCTGTGTCTACGTGTCAGCCAGTCAGACGCTGGCGCCCGGGGGTGCCGGGGGTCGGGCTGCAGGCCGGATGGTACCGTCAGTCTCGGCATCCTCGCTAGGCTGATGGTCGCAGAAGAGCCGGTGTGGGACCTACCGCCGTGGGTGTTGATGCTGGATTGTTCGCCCGCATTGTTTTGGTGCGGCTTGGCGTACACCACGCTGTACCCTTTGGGATTCCCGATCACAGTTTTCACCAAGGCGTCGTCGTCTTTGGGCTTCCTCGCGTTTCTCTGCGGGATAGGGTAAGACAGGTTCCCTGATACAAGGTCAAGGTTGCTCTTACTGTCCCGACTTCCGGGAATTTGACCGTTGACGGTGGCCGTGGTGCCATTTCCGCTGTCTCCGCTGTTGCTGGGGTTGATGATCGAGTACTGCGTAGTGCTGCGCTTGTGCCCCCCTGACGCCACTCGGGGGGTGAAGGCGTCGCTGTAGCTGTAGCCTATGCCGGTTGTTCTCCTCTGTCTCCTGATGGCGTCGGCCATCTCGGCTGCAGCCTTCATTGGTGTGACCTGGGAACGAACACAATACGGACAGGCGTCAACTCGTGTTGATCTTAGAAATCAAGGCAGACAGAGAATGGGTCATTGTTGACTTCATAAAGACGGCAGGAATATTTATCAGAGTTTCTTCCAGGCAGCTATCATTTCGGAGGAGCGGAGCCCCCCCCCCCCCCCCTTCTCTCGAAAAAGTCTAACCTCCCCCCCCCCCCCCCCCCAAACGAAATGGAATTTATATAGAAAATATATACCTTTATGCATACTCCTCCCCCCCCCCCCGAAAATTTTAGCCCCCCCCCCCCCCCCCGGAGAAAAAAGTCTGGAAGAAACACTGGTATTTGTTGATTCTAGCTACACTAACCGCTACCTTAACACTGGCACTGGTCCTAATGCTAACCCTAATCAACCTTATTTACATAATACATAAGGTAATACAGAGAGCATTTTTAAAACCTGTACGTGGTCAGGTTACACAACTGTTTGATGCCTGTTTCGCTATGATCGCAAATTACCACATACTAAGTACCTTATTAGACAGCCCATGTTACCTTCCGCGTTTCGCTATAATCGCAAATTACCACATACTAAGTACCTTATTAGACAGCCCATGTTGCCTAACGCATTTCGCTATGATCGTTTATTACCCCACACCCCAGGAATTCGTTTTGTCACACACGACAATAGAATCTTGTGTAATCAATTATTATAGATTTTTTTCATCGATGTGCTCAGTGGGGTGTCTGTGTGCATGTGTGTGTGTCTGTGTGTCTGTGTGCATGTGTGTGTGCGTGTGTGTGTGTGTGTGTGCCAGCCATCAATATTTTCAGTGAGATTTATCTATCTCACCGATCTGCGAGTGTAGTTGTTTTCAGTGTAAGCGGTAGTGACGCAACGATTACATATCGTCCACTGTAAGAGTAGGCTACTATGGGGGTGGGGGGGGGGGAGGGGGGGTACTAGTTTGTTTTAGTTTGACCTATTTTGTAGTATGTACATTTTTACTACTCCTCTTCTATTCATTATTTGTCCACTAGTTTCGCGATCAATTAGGAAACTTGACATCATCGCACGGGGTATCTGGTTCACCAATTAACAACGCCATTAGAAACTGAGGATAGCAGAATGATATTAATTCTTCATTTGGTTCACTGTTGTGTAGGTTGTATAACTTCGCTCAGTAATACACAGTGAAAGGGGGGGGGGGGGGCTGACACAAGGGAGCCTGAACAAAGAGAATAGTCCGCAACTCTACTGCAACAGTAAAAAATGTATCGAGGTTGGCATTAAATGTGGGCTGGTCCAGCGGTGCCCTAAAAAGCTGAGAGTATTCGAGAAAAGTGAATGTAGTACCTGGACGGTTGTTGTCATTTGTTGGGGCTTGGGACCGTCCACATGTATCCTGATGTCCCTCCCGGGGTCCAACTTGGACTCGTCCATCTCAAGCCTCCTGTTCTCTAGTGTGTCCTTGACCGGCGACCGTCACGGTGTGATGTTTTGATGGCGTCCATCTGACAAGCTCGGACCTCACGTCTGCTGACCAAAGAAAAGTGACGTCATTACAGCTTAACTGTATGTGCATGTAATAGATAACTTACACGTGCTAGACACGGAGGTAATCGAATACAATGTTGCCATCAATTACCTGCACATGTTAGAGACGAAGGTAATCGAATACAATGTTGTCATCAATTACCTGCACATGTTAGAAACGGTGGTAATCGAATACGATGTTGCCATCCATTACCTGCACATGTTAGAGACGGGTGTAATCGAATACATTGTTTCCATTAATAATTACTTGAACATGTTACAGACGAAGGTAATCGAATACATTGTTTCCATCAATGATTTGCACATGTTAGAGACGGAAGTAATCGAATACAATGTTGTCATCAATGGCTTGCACATGTTAGAGACGAAGGTAATCGAATACATTGTTTCCACTAATTACTTGCACATGTTAGAGACGGGGGTAATCGAATACAATGTTTTTACGAAGCCTTGTCTCAGACTCAGCCATAATGGGACCGGATTCAACCAGTGACATCCTTGTTCAACCACTACCCGCAAAAACTGATCCATTTTAGGGTTAGTACAGGTTTTAAGTTAAAGTGAACTCGACACCGTATTAAACTGCTAATCGTTGTCAACGGATTAGCTCTGCATCACCTACTAGAAAACGAAAACTACACCAGAAATACCATTCAATATCTAGTCTAATTTCCCTGCGAATTCGTTCAATTAAATTTTAATATTTTAAAAATTAGTTTTCTTATTGATATAAAGGGCGGGGGTCTTCCTATGTTGTACATTTAAAAACCTTCCTGTCGTGTGTGTATATAAAGTCTCTAGTTTTTAATTAATCTCGGTTAAATCCCACCCGCCCCTTTCCTTCTAGTGAATTCAAGATCTAGACACACCTTCTATCTGTCAACACTTGTCGTATGCTAATATTGACCTAGTACCGGAAGTTCTCACAGCGCATGGCATCGAAAGAAAATGTTGTACCGAACCTTAACGTACTGGCTCAGCCGTTCTCAGTATGTTCTTACTTAATATGTACAGTGTGCACTCTTGATAAGTTTTTACAAACTGATTGGGCAATCTATATCAGGACAAAATATCTCATAACAAAATATTTCCACAGGACAGAATTTTTTTTTGACAAAACATTTCAGGACTAAATATATCAAGACATAATATATCCGGACAAAATATATCAGGACAAAATATCTCATAACAAAATATTTCCACAGGACAGAATTTTTTTTTGACAAAACATTTCAGGACTAAATATATCAAGACATAATATATCCGGACAAAATATATCAGGACAAAATATCTCATAACAAAATATTTCCACAGGACAGAGTTTTTTTTTTGACAAAACATTTCAGGACTAAATATATCAAGACATAATATATCCGGTCAAAATATATCAGGACAAAATATCTCATAACAAAATATTTCCACAGGACAGAATATAGGATGACAAAATATCTCAGGACAAAATATAGGATGACAAAATATCTCAGGACAAAATATAGGATGACAAAATATCTCAGGACAAAATATAGGATGACAAAATATTTCCTCAAGACAGAATATAGGATGACAAAATATCTCAGGACAAAATATCTCATTGAAAACAGAACCTTTAAACGCGGATTCAAACCAAGTAAAAAAAGTTGTTTAGAAAAAAAAAACCGCTTATTCAGCAGATTTAAAAGTCTAAATTTGAAAAAATAAATATCGGACGTTGTTTACTTCCCGTATGTTAAAAACAAGGGAAGCAATCAATGGCGCGGCTTCAGGTAAAGTACTTTAATTCTGCTAAGGGAGTTAATTCACAAGCCCAGCGGGTCGGCCATTTGTACTGAATAGGCATCCGGCACTTGCTACGATTATAAATTGGCAGTTTGCAACTCTAGATTACTTCAAACCGTTACCTAATCCTTGATTTTAGAGCACAATCCCATGGATATAATGTATCGGTCACATAGTAGATGAGTGTTTAATACAAACTGCTAGAGATTAGTTGAGTGTTTAAATAATACAATCTGTTATGGTAAAAATTGAGTGTTCAATCCAAACTGTTATGGTAATAGTTGAGTAATAGTTGAGTGTTTATGGTAAAGTTGAGTGTTTATGGCAATAGTTGAGTGTTTATGGTAATAGTTGTGTGTTTAAGGCAATAATTGAGTGTTTATGGCAATAGTTAAGTGTTTATGGTAATAGTTGAGTACTCAATCTAAACTGTTATGGTAATAGTTGAGTGTTTAAGGCAATAATTGAGTGTTTATGGCAATAGTTGAGTGTTTATGGTAATAGTTGAGTGTTTATGGCAATAGTTGAGTGTTTATGGTAATAGTTGAGTGTTTATGGTAATAGTTGAGTGTTTATGGTAATAGTTGAGTGTTTATGGTAATAGTTGAGTGTTTAAGGTAATAGTTGAGTACTCAATCCAAACTGTTATGGTAATAGTTCTTACAAATATTCTCTTGAGCTGCGTTTGTGCCGTTTAAAATTGCTGTTCAATGTGTTTAGGGGTACTATTTTGTTGTTGTAGGGCCTATTCCTTTCTCATGCGGTTTTTAAACTTAGTCGTAGCTGTTATTTCTCCTAAAAATAAAGATTAAATGTGACGAAAGATGTTATGTAAAAAATTGAAAAACTAAAAAAAAAAATAATCAGTAAAAACAGAAGCAAAGAAAGATAACCCACACTAAAAGGAAGGGGAGGCTAGAATTAGAATATAAAACTCTGGCAGATGAAGCTCGATACCAGGGGACAGCAACCCATCAAGGAAAGAAAACTCCAAAAATCAAACTGCTGCGTAGTGGTTTGTTCTTGGCTAAGGAAGCCAATCGAGAAAGAAAAGCAGGCTGAAATAGGAGTCAGCGGCCTATATGGCACATAACAAGTTGACACGTTAATTGTGTTGGAGAAAGTCCTGTCCAAATTTATAATTAAGAACGAAACAAAAAAGAAATAAACCCAAATATAACGGTCTAAATTCTAAATTACTAGCATAGAATGGCTACTGAAACACTCTGGGCCCTCGTGTCATGACCTCGCAGTTAACCCGGTATTGGAGGGAGGCAAATCAAGATCAGAAATTTTCATCAGGGTTATATAGCGCAGCGATAAGAATTAAAGATGTGAATAAAGATGGCGACACAGCAAGAGAGTTAAAGATAAGGAGTTATGTCCCTGTGTGCATGTCGTAATGTCCGCACTTACATTTATAATCGTCCTGAATAAAGTATTCGATTACAAAAATTAACACGCTTGCGACTAAAAAATTTAAATGTGATTTAGTTTAATCATCCATCCGTGATGCTAAAATAAAAATTTAGAAGTGTTTTAGTGTTAACATAAAAAAAATAATTATTAAACTTCTATAAAAGAATATTTAAAAAAAAATAAATTAAACAACAAAACTGAATTATGAAACACATATTTTCCATTTAAGACACAAAACACCCACATATAACCTGTGGGCGGTATCGACGACGCCATGGTCAACAATGGACTTCGCGCTTGAAGAGTATTCGACACCAGTCCTGTTTCCTCAAGAATTCTTCTTCATATCGATCTACCATCGTTTTTTTTTAACGTCGGTGAAGAGAAATCAATAGAACAATCGGGAAAAAAATCGATCGGGTGTGATCATGGGTGATTGTAGGTTCAATGATGTGATGGTGTGGGGGGGGAGGGTGAGGGGGGGTTACGGGACAGGGAAAAATGTTTGTTACAGTCATGTTGTTTCTAAAATAATTCTACGGTGCTCCGTTTGGCCAAATTAACCAGATTTTTTTTTAAAAAAAGGTGTGGGTGTGTGTGTGTGTGGGGGGGGGGGGGTGGAGAGCTTCACACGAGCTGAAGCTCACATGAGTCGTGGTCATGGGCGGGACGACACGGGGTGGGGTGTGGGGAGAAAAAGGTAGGTGTTTTGAGACCATGGAGTTGTTTACAGTTTAGAGTATAACACGGAGCTTGGTGTTATTTGTTTATGTTTACCATACATTCTAAAGACAGTAATACATGTTCAGTTTTATTTAAACTTGATCCTCAAGCACAGCTTACGTTTGACAAGCAACACAAGGAAGAAATATCTAACAGAAAGAAGTCCATGTAGAGGTCGTACATTACTGAGGTCACAGGTTGTTAACGAGTCCCACCAGCAACCTCAGCCCTATTTCAGCTTAAATAATAACATTTAAACTGAAAAATGTTACCTCGACTTAAATAATAACATTTTAAATGAAAAGTGCGACATCAGCTTAATAATATTTAATTCAAGTTTTTAAAATTAAAATATAGTTTTGTTATAATAAACATATTTTTAAATTTTTGATTAATTAAATTAATTAATTTTTATTAAAATTACATTAACTAATTACTACCATTGCCAAGGTGAAACCTATTCTAGAGAGTGTCAAGGAGTGAACACGGGCAACCATACACGGCTAATGAAGGCTATACCAACACCCAGCTAAACATAACACACAGATGACCTCCATTCACACAAATTTATCTGGCACGACCCCATTCAATGACAGCCATAGATTTGGAGAAGCAATGTATCACCAAAACAAAGAAGCATCATAAAAAACAGTGATCCTTTTACACTTGTAAAGTAGTCCTTCTAGCCATCATTCCCCAGAATAAACCAATTGATATTTTTATGGGGGAAATAAAACGATAAAATGTTACTGTAACGACAGCACTAACATTAAAATATCAATATATCTTGTTTAAGCTGATCACTAGAGTCACAGTATGTTCTGTATCGCACCATCTCACACACGACAAGCTTGTATTACAAGATTTTAGCACATTTAACACGGCAAACTGGTATTACAAGATTTTAGCACATTTAACACGACAAACTTGACTGTTGTATTACAAGATTTTAGCACATTTAACACGGCAAACTTGACTTCTCTATTACAAGATTTTAACACATTTAACACGACAAGATTGACGTCTGTATTACAAGATTTTAGCACATTTAACACGGCAAACTT